ATCCGCCTTCACGCACAAAATGTGCGATCGGAGTGTTGAAAGTAAATAGGGCAATAGAGACAGATAAACTTCACCCAGCCCTCTTCAAATTCGGGGAACCTGCTCTTGTAGATGGTTTTCACAACTTAATTGTGAAGCTGTGGGAGCAGGAAATTATCCCAACAGACCGGAGCCCCTCGAAAACAGTCCCGATTTTCAAGGGGGCTCACGCTCTGAACGCCGAAATCGTAGATGGATCAGTCTGATCGCAATGGCCTCTAAGATACTCGCCTCTGTCGTTCTTCATAGACTTACTGGCACCCGTGAAAGTTAGATTGGCGAGGATCAAGCCGAGTTTTGTCGCAGTTGCAGCTGTATAGATCACATCTTCATACTACCCCAGTTGTTAAAACACCACCATCTTTATCGGCGAGCCACCGTAGTCTTGTTTCTCGACACCTAAGGTGCCTTCGATTCGGTGAATCGATGTGCCCTTTGGGACTGTTAGCTTAGGAAATGTGTGCCCGAAAAATATGTAAACATTATCAGAACACTTTAGTTGCAAAATTCGGGCAGATTGAGTGCTTACAGCAAACTGTCGCCGCCCTTCAATATCTCCGGCGGCATGAGACAAGCATGCCCGCTGTCACCTTTCCTTTTTAACTTCTCCATTGACGACGTCAGGGAAACTGCCTTCACTGGATACAACCTGAAAGACATGAAGCTGTTCCCAGGCGATCGACTTGGAGTGCGCCGACGACATTGCCCACATTTGTTACAGTTTTCAAACGTGCCAAGTCATCATCATTATACACATCAGCTAGAGGTGAGAAAACACCTCCGCTATTGTGCCGCAATACATGAAAGAAATACATACATACATATAATACAATACACAAAGGGAAAATAGATACAACAGTTGCATGCCAGGTGAGCTACCAGCAACGGATAGGCATCGTTCCGGTAAGCTCCCAGCCGGCTACTAGGCAAAAAGAAAATTTTTTCTATTATTATGTTTTACCTTAGGAAATGAGATCGTAGATGGAGGGGGAGACTAAAAGGGATGGGGAGGGACAAAGAAACTCACAGCAGGAACGCCACTGAGGTCGGCTCCTTGCCATATCAGCAAGTGTACCCAGCCAAACGTGTTCACCGTCTTTTGGACCCCAACCAGGGAGCCGTGAAGCTCCAACCGAGGCTAGCTCCGAAGTGATGGACTTCATTCCTCTGGACCAAGTCATCGCTTGGCCACCTCTCCTCTTCTTCCACCCACATCCCCGGTGAGCAAACAACGCACGTCGCGGGAGTCGGTGGGCTGGCATGCGCAACACGTGGCCCAGCCATCGGAGCCTGGTGCGGTAAATAACGGTGCTGAGCGGTTAAGATCCTTTTCCTGGGCCGTAAACAATGCGTCGAACACGCTCGTTATTCACGCGGTGTTCGCACCAGATGCGGACCAAACTGCGAAGGCACCGATGGTCGAACGTAGCTAGCTTCTATATATCTGCTAATCTTATGGACCAGGTTTCGCAACTGTACAGTAAGGTCGAACGTACCGCTGCATTGTACACTCTACCTTTCAGGGCGAGAGTGATGTCGCGCCGCCGCCATAGGTGGCGAAGGTTAGCAAAAGCACTCCGAGCTTTCGCTATACGGTTCGTAATCTCGTCTTCGATCCCAAGGGCGCTGATACAACTTCCCAGGTAATTGAATTTCTGAACGACTTCTAGCTGATCCCCACCAAGGGTCAGCGCAGGAGGCGATCCCTGCTAATCTTGGAGGAACGCTTTGCACTTCGATGGTGCAAAGCAAAGCCCAAAGCGGCCGACAGACAGTGCTAATCTGTCCAGCGCGGCTTGGCACGTCTGGGAGCTGTCACAGATGAGGGCAATGTCGTCTGCATACTCCAAGTCAAGAAGTCGTTCTCCTGGGAGTAGCTCCACACCTTCCAAGTCATGTCCTGTAAATGCAAATTCCATGACTTCGTCAATAGCGAAGTTGAAGAGGGAAGGTGACAGCGGGCATCCTTGTCTCACACCGCTGGTGATAATTAAAGGGTGGCGACAGCTTGCCGTAAGCCCTCACTCTGCCCGTGCTACGCGCATATAATGCTTGGATAATATTTACATATTTCTCGGACGCACCTTTCCTGAGTAGACAATTCCAAAGGGCACATCGATCAACCGAATCGAAGGCACTTATGATGTCGAGGAACACGACAACGGTGGGCCGCCAATATGTGTGGCGGTGCTCCAACAACTGACCCAAGGTGAAGATGTGGTCGATGCAGCCACGACCCCGACGAAACCCGGCTTGCTCCTCACGAACCTGGCTTTCACGAGGGCCAATCAGTCTGTGAAGAATTATGGAGGCGAGTAATTTCGAGGCGATGGGGATCAGACTGATTCCTCTATGGTTGCCGCATTCCGAGCGCGAGCCGCCTTTGAAGATGGGAACAATAACGGAGCGGCTCCAGTCGGTTGGGACAGTCTCCTGCTCCCACAGTTTCACTAGTAATTCATGTAAAGCATCAACAAGTGCAGAGCCTCCGAATTTGAAGAGGGCTGGAGGAAGATCATTTGGTCACGCGGCTTTATTCAACTTCAGTCCGATCTCACGTTCGACTTCTGAGCCAGAGGGTGGATCCAAAGGGACAGCCCACGGAGCAGGGCGATCATTCGCCGGCGAAGAATCGAACAATTCTAGCCGATTAAATTGCTTTTCAAAATGCTCAGCCCAACGCTCCAAACGTTTTGACAAATTGTGAATAGGCTGTCCACTCACATCACAAATTGTTTCGCTAACATCAGGTCTCCTGGTGCCCGTTTCCCGTATCAAAACGTGCCAAGTAGCACGGGATAAATTAACATTGAATGTCAGCTTAATCGGGGATTCCCCTATATCGGTTGAATCATGACACTTAATGCAAATCAGGTGCATAATAAAAAGTCCGTGACGTTTTTCGCATTTGCATCGACTGCACTTTCTTCCGAGACCAGAGTTGGTGAATTGTCGCATCAAGCTTTCCATTAATCGCATCTGGGCCGCTGATTTTGCTGTTGGTGCGAGAGTGCCGTTAATTTCTCTGCAGTTAATGACATGTTGCTTGGGCTTCCGTCGCCAAATCTGTTGCTTCGGACTTCTAGAGTAGGCCAACGCCCAGTGAGGAAGAATGAACAAAACAGGTACGCATCAGTTGGAGTCTGTTAGAGACCAATACGTGAGTTGAAGTACAATGAAACAGATCGCTTTGGTTATAGTGCGATTGAAGCGTTTCCGGTTTGCTTCAGTCTGACTGTTGGGCATTAGTTTGTCTTGTCCCTCTCCTCAGCTTGTTCTGGACTTCATGGCAGAGGATTGATTGACCACGATTCGTGAGCTTCGTTGGTCTGACTTCGAGAAGCCGCGCCATCCTAGCAAACTCCTACCGTGTATACCAATTCGTATGTAAATACAGAACCAGTTACATAGGCAAAACCGATAGGATCCTGAGTTTCCGAATGAAGGAGCAAGTGTCGATGTGCGAGATTATACAGCAAGTATATCCAGTTCAAGCTACACGTTCACGCCGGCCGGCGGTATCTTCTACTTATTGCTCTAACGTCACCGGGTTGAGGTCAACACGGTATCCAAAGTTCCGCCGCGGTATACTAATTATCAGCTCCTCCATTTCGATGAGGTTGTGATAAGATGGATTAAACCGGCATTTCGCATTCAAAGGCGATTATCGATCAGCCTTAGGTTGCTCGGAATGTACGCATGAGACCCGTTTGTACATATCTCTGCACCTTCTAACGATGGTATATAACTTTTAGTAATCTTTATTGGCACTGATAAGACGATATAAAATGAATGCACACGCGGAAATTCGTTCTCTAAATGTGTTTTTCAAACTACTGAAGGGAGTCGATTGTTTTTAACTTTCCTAATGTGCTCAGCGCGTGGCGGGTATACAACGGCAATAATCATATTGTTAAGCGTACATCCCACCGTCTGCTTAGGTGACGGACTTAGAAAAGCCATAAGGGTCCCAGCAATTTGTGCGATAATGTTTCCGTGATGCGATAACCAAAGATGTAGCTACCTAAATAGGTGAACAGAGTGTTTGTTCTATGTGAAAATTGGTGGTATGTCGATCCAGTACCCTACACTCTGAAAGAGCATGCCGAAGCGTGCAGTGCCCGCGTAGCTCCTGAGTCAGACTAGGAGAGAGCTATCTTCTGCATACTGTAAGTTTAACAGCAGTCACCCGACAGAACATCTACCCCAGAAGTCGAAAGAAGGCAAGACGGTGTCATTTATAATTATTTCAACCAAAATGTTAGAGAGTGATAGGGCAACCCTGGTGTAGTCAACTCGCCGAGGCGTACTTAAAGGAGACAATTCCCCGACACTTATACGGCATCGAGTCGTGGTACGGGGAGGAACTTCTCAGGCATGCACTTCAAAGCTACACATCGCCGAATCAAATACAGCCTTCAAGACAATAAAGACTACGGTGGCGTTTCAGCAGTGGTCGGAGAGCAAAAATTTGGTTAACGCACCTTTTGCCCGGGCGGAAGCCAGCTCTCAAGATGCAACGCGTTGCATGTGGACGGCTGTCAAATGTCGCAAGCGTCTAGTGATCCTTGCTCATTTTCTCCGACTAGGGTTCTCATGACTAGTTATCAGCGAAGTGCCAACACAAGGTGATGTGGTCGCGAATACCGTTTTCATGCATAGGCTAACAAAACTGTGCATGAGTGCTCAATGTTACAGATCAGGGTGATCATTTCACTACACAAGGGGGTGAACTGAAGCTGTAGCATTGGCACACATTACAGGCAGCCAGAGTCCGGATGTATGGAGGACTCATGTTGTGAAGAAGAAACAAATTTTTTCGAGAAATACGAGCGAGTCACAAAAGTAGAGGGTGTCGTGATGGACTGCGTGGGGACGAAATATGTGACAATAATCCTCGGAAAATGTGGTTTTTGTACAACGTAAGAAGCTGGACAATCAGAAAGTGAAAATAATGGGAATCAATCGAAACCGGCTGCTTGGAGGATAGTGCTACTCAGACACATGTACTCTGTTCCATATTGTTCCGTGTTCACACCGGTATTCATCTCATCCAATAAGGCGTCCGATTCACGCTCTTCCGGCGATTTGGCGTTGGCGCATTTCATAAACTCTCCGAGCGCGTGCTTGAAAGTGGAAACGTTCTGAGTGAATCTAAAACAAAAAGAACAGGTGGGAAAAGTAACCGTGGATGATGCGAAGTCCCCGAGGCAGTGCGAAAGGACATCCGTCCAGGTAGAGATAAGTGGGTGACGGTTGAACGGACATACGTATGGACAAACAGCGCCAAACCTTACGAAAGCACTCGGATGATGGATCTTAGTTAATGCGTTGTATTTGCTGAAAACCTATCACAAGTAAGTGAGGAAACAGTGCAGTAAAGTGCATATATATATATATATATATATATATATATATATCCGTGTATAAGCCGAGGAATTTTGGACAATTTTCCGTGTCTGTAGTGGGGTGTCGGCTTATACAAAGGTTATGCGCATAAATGTGTAAACACCACATGCAAAATCCACCCAGAAATTCACAGCACACCTATGCCCCTCACTTGCCTTAGCGCTACTCGCTAGTGACGAACGGTAACGCAGGCGGGGATTTGAAATGCCTATAGGTAGATACATTGTGTTTGTCGAAAATGCTTGGTATATTGCGCATTTGACTTTCGCGACGGAGAGCAGTAAGAGAAACATACTGATTGTACAGAATCTAAAACCATCATGCACAATAACATTGGAAAAAGCATGACAGAGCAGCACGTACCGGTAGATTTTATATGTTCACATATCCAAACGCTGCACAATGGTATTAAAATTACTCGGATCCTTCGAAACTGGAATCCGAATCCGAATCTCCAAACAGTTTCTGGTACTGGTCGTCTGTCATTAGGACGTCAGGGTGAATATCGTCATCTTCAACTTCAATGCTCTCGTCATTGTCATATTCCTCAAGAATGGCATCGTTCTCACTTCCATCCACAGCTTGAGCACATTCAAGTGACAGCAGGTAGTGATGAAGTCAAAATCGTGGAAAAACAATCTCGTTTCTCTTTTTGCTGATTTTTTGTGGGGCCGGCTAAGATAAGGGACTTACGATTTCGGACAGATCTGACGTTGCAGAGTCATACTGTCGGCTTATACACCGTAATATACGATTGATGCTTAAAAACACAATGTAAACTAATGGACAAGCGTTTGCGTGTTTCTGTGAACTTGAGGACAAGTAACTAGTCGCATCGGCTGCGTTGATAGAGACTGGTGTGTGGCGACCGACGTGTGACACCGAATATCCTTTGGTTTCGAATGTAGCTCCGAATGATGGTACAATAAAACGCGGAAGATGAGTGTGCAAGATGACGGTGGGATAGATTCCCTACTGGGTTTGCGGTTTAGTCACTTTGAGGAACGCGGATATCATGAATTTGCTGCATTCGGTAGGAAGTGCCCTGAATTAGTGCTGCAGCCAGCCGATGCACCAAGAGCCCTAGGTTTAGAGTACTAGACACTCATCTTTTACTAACGACACTAAACGTTTCAGTTGTGGATGCGTCAGCGTAGTGTTGGCGCACAGCTGGCTAAGATCGATACGGAACAGAGAGCTCGAGTTAAAGATGGATGCATACAAGATGCCGCTTACTTGTCACGATTTTTACCGCTCAAATTGAATTCGACTTCTTCCATCAGCTTTTCGAAAAGCCTTGTGACTGCCTCTCGGTGTATAGTTGCCAAGTTTGCGATGACACGATTCCGAAGTTCAAGGTAATACTGTGAAAGGAAAACGAACGAGTGTAACAGACAAACAGCTGAATTGCCACACCTCTATAACGAGTGGAAAAATCTACCACTCAATGCTGTTTGTGAGCGTACGCCACTATGGTGGACATGTCGAGTATGTAACACCGGAGATACAAGAACTGGACAGAGCTCCACTGCAATCGAACAATAGAAAAATCGAAGTATGGACGACTTGCAGTTCAATCATCAGCAAGGAGTTCTTGAATATAAAGTAGTAATCACATAATTGATTCAAGTCAAGTCAAAGTAAGCTTTAAACAACTATATAAACGCATTTTACATAGGCCGTTGACTGGAATACTCGCAAGAGGATGTGTGGCTGCGCCCATAAGCTGAGAATTTGCTTGATTTTGGATAGCGGCCAGAAGGGAACGCGTGTGGCATTGCCAATCAGCATGGACTCGTGCGGTCGCAACTACGCACTGTTTGATGTGTAGGACGAATTAGTTGGTGAACGAGTTTGCTGGCCTGTTGATCTGGGTTCTTTGCTAATCGGTTGAAAGGGAACAACACTGAATTTGGCAGTAGCCCGCAAAACAGGTTGGACGCCTACCAATTTTTGCGCTAAAAGCAGCAGCGTGAAAGTATTTGAGAAAATTTAGAAAACGGATACAATATTGTGTAGACGTTGATCGACAATGCACTTGCCGCGTTGTTAAGCAGAATCAAAGGTAAAAGTGGCCTGGTCATGGACCATTGAATCCGACAATCCTCTTGGATGACTGCACTGAGAAGGATGACTAGAATACGCTGTAAAAGGGTGGAGCCAGCTGGAAGTGTCAAGTTGTCTGATGACGATTTCGTTAAATTGAGCAATGTGGTCTCTGCAATCGGTGTCCGGGCAGACCAAACGGCGTAACCAGAAACTCCGTAACGCCTCAGTTGGTTGGCACCGTTCGAGACTAGGGCACTGCTCTCAAGTGAAATTAGTCTCAACGGGTCGTCAGAGGGACCAGGCGACGAGACCAAACCAACACCGGAGCTACGTTGATTCTGTTGCGACTGTGCCAACTTGAAGATGTGTGTCAAGATGTAATCTAGACACAGACAACAGTTTTCTGCCACTGTGGTGTCTGTAAAAGAGAATGAAAGTGAACAATGTTAAAAACACGTGCGGAATCATTTCTACACAAAGTAAGCGATGAGACGCAGTAGGACGCATCGGAATAATGTGGGTTATGAAGCCGTCTCAACTCACCATAGGGCAGGAAAAAAGTTCGAGGACGGTGGCGAATCACACGGTGACCGTAAGCATGATCAGTAAAGGGGTTGGACCAGTACGTCAAGCTGTTTTTAGCGAAATGCAAACCTGCGCCGATAACTGTATAATACTACCAGTCGAACGGTAGCCTTATAATCGTATCTGTCTGTGGGAAGAGTGGGCTCCAAGCCTTACATAAGTCAGAGTCACAGGCCGGTTACTCACGGAGGCGGAGATGAATGGACTAACCGAAAATCGTGCTATTACTATCTCAGCAATAGCGTTCATTTGAAATAAGAAAGTGTTAAAGTTGGGATCGTACACAAGGTGCCATCGCAATGAGGCTGGACCTTACCGTGGTGCGATGGTTTGTGTGTCTCAGTGATCCATTGAGCCATGCTGGGTGGTGCTTTTGCACCTTCAGAGTCACTCATACCAGGTTGGTCAATGGTTAGAGGCCAGACAAACTCAGCCTCCTGGTCCTCCAGGTTGGGGGTTGGAATGAGGGTGGCACCTTATTCCTTAAAATGGACTCCTTGTAGCCCAACGCCAAACCCGCTGCCTTGCGGTCAGGTTTTTGAAGCAAAGGCTTTGGTTGAGAACCCTAACCGTTCTCCTGTCTAGGCCTGGGCAACCTGACAGTATCCTGCCCACGCAATACTATGAATTTTCCTTCAAACAATTTCTTGATGCTCTGGCCACCGCAGAGGATAATCAACGGTGCCCTATCTGCTGCATCGAGCAGGGTGGATAGGGGTTTGGATGCTACTGCTCAAGCCTTCCCGTCTTCTTATTCCCCCTCTTACGCTTTTTCACTCTTACCGTCCCATTCCAACTTCACTTACATCCCCCCAGTTTTCAACCCCCCGATTCTTGGCCCTCCCCCAACATGCTTTGCTAGGCATTTACCTTCTAATTTCAACTCACACGTGAACGCGGAGCGTCACTCCTCTCCTGTCGACAAGCCCAGGTCCAACCAAGCGGTCAATCCAGTTCATCGGCTTCCATTTGGAGCCCTCGATCCTCCTTCAGATTGGCATGCCTCAATGTACGCACACTGCTACAAATCGGTCAACAGGCAGCACTTGCCCGAACATTGGAGACCCTCTCGATCGATATCTGCTGCTTATCAGAGACTCGCCTGCAAGACTCGAGCACTGTGCTCACTCTGCGATCCCCTTCAGGTGACGCAAGCAGTATTTTCTCATTGCGCCTATCCGGTGACGATGCAGCTTCGAGCACCGGCCAAGCTGGTGTTGGCATTGCCCTGAGTCCCCGGCCTGAAGCTGCTCTGGTTGATTGGATTCCAATCAGTAGCCGGATGTGTGCGGTCCGATTGGCTGGCTCGTTTAAAGCTCCGAAGTCGCGCGGGACTAATAGATGTCTATTCATCATCGCTGCCTATGCGCCCACAAACTGTAGCGATGATTCGGTAAAGAACGACTTCTACCGCCAACTGACCCAGCTCCTTCGCCACAGAAGAAGCACGGATACTGTTGTGCTGGCGGGGGATATGAACGCACAAGTTGGAAAGTTGTCCACTGAGGAACTGCATCTGGGCGGTCAACACGGTGTAGGCTCCCGTAATGATAACGGTGAGCGGTTACTTCATTTGTGTGAAGATGCTCGCTTATTTCTTGCGAGCACTAATTTCCGACACAGCACTCGCCGGAGGGTGACTTGGCGCCCACCAGCCTCGAACCAGCCTTGGACGCAGATCGATCACATTGCGATAAGTTACCGCTGGAGAGGCTGCATCCAGAATTGTCGCTCGATTTGGAGCACATGTGTGGACACCGACCATGCACTTGTATGTGCTGACATGCGGATGTGTTTTGGCGGACGCCCACGACGACGCTGTGAGCGTATAGACACCAGCCAACTGACAAAGCCAGCTGTTCTGAATGCGTATCGAAGTACGCTGACATGCGAGTTGAGCAAGCGCTCACAGGAGACAATTGATGGTCACTGGTCACATGTTCGCCAGACCTTACTAGCAGCAGGCAAATCCTCATGTGGTATGTCTAATAGACAACATGGACATTGGGTCTCTTCGCAGTCTCTGGAACTTATCGATGCTCGCCGGCATATCCCGGCTGGAAGCGAGCACAATGAAACTCGCAACGAGCTCCGGGCAAAACTCCGTGCTAGCCTGAAGAGAGACCGCGAATCTTGGTGGTCTCATCGTGCGTCAGAGATGGAGGTGGCCGCTGCCCTTGGCAACCATCGTAAGTTATTCCGTCTGATACGGGAAACGGGCAGCAGGAGACCTGGTGTTAGTGAAACTATACGTGACGAGAGTGGACAGCCTATCCACAATTTGTCAAAACGTCTGGAGCGTTGGGCTGAGCATTTTGAAAAGCAATTTAATCGGCAAGAATTGTTCGATTCGCCGATCGCCCCGCTCCGTGGGCTGTCCCTTTGGATCCACCCTCTCGCTCAGAAGTCGAACGTGAGATCGGACTGTTGAAGTAAAATAAACCCGCGGGACCAGATGATCTTCCTCCAGCCCTCTTCAAATTTGGGAGCTTTGCTCTTGTTGATGCTTTGCATGAATTACTAGTGAAACTGTGGGAGCAGGAGATTGTCCCAACCGACTGGAGCCGCTCCGTTATTGTTCCCATCTTCAAAGGCGGCTCGCGCTCGGAATGCGGCAACCATAGAGGAATCAGTCTGATCTCCATCGCCTCCAAATTACTCGCGTCCATAATTCTCCACAGACTGACTGGCGCTCGTGAAAGGCAGATTCGTGAGGAGCAAGCCGGGTTTCGTCGGGGTCGTGGCTGCATCGACCACATCTTCACCTTGCGTCAGTTGTTGGAGCACCGTCACACATATTGGCGGCCCACCGTTGTCGTGTTCCTCGACATCAAAGGTGCCTTCAATTCGGTTGATCGATGTGTCCTTTGGAATTGTCTACTCAGGAAAGGTGTGCCCGAGAAATATGTAAATATTATCCAAGCATTATATGCGCGTAGCACGGGCAGAGTAAGGGCTTACGGCAAGCTGTCGCCACCCTTCAATATCTCCAGCGGTGTGAGACAAGGATGCCCGCTGTCACCTTTCCTATTCAACTTCGCTATTGACGAAGTCATGGAGATTGCATTTACAGGACATGACTTGGAAGGTGTGGAGCTACTCCCAGGAGAACGACTTCTTGACTTAGAGTATGCAGACGACATTGCCCTCATCTGTGACAGCTCCCAGACGTGTCAAGTCGCGCTGGACAGATTAGCACTGGCTGTCAGTCGCTTCGGGCTTTGTTTTGCACCAGCGAAGTGCAAAGCGTTCCTCCAGGATTGGCAGGGTTCACCCCCTGTGCTGACCCTTGGTGGGGATCAGCTAGAAGTCGTTCAGAAATTCAATTACCTAGGAAGTTGTATCAGCGCCCTTGGGATCGAAGACGAGATCATGAACCGTATAGCGAAAGCTCGAAGTGCTTTTGCTAACCTTCGCCACCTATGGCGACGGCGCGACATTACTCTCGCCCTGAAGGGTAGAGTGTACAATGCAGCGGTACGTTCCACCCTACTGTACGGTTGCGAAACCTGGCCCCTAAGATCGGCGGACATGAAGAGGCTAGTTACGTTCGACCATCGGTGCCTTCGCAGTTTGGCTCACATTTGGTGGGAACACCACGTGAGTAACGAGCGTGTTCGACGCCTTGTTTACGGCCTAGGAAAAGGGAATGAACCGCTCAGCACCGTCATTTCACGTACCAGGCTCCGATGGCTGGGCCACGTGTTGCGCATGCCAGCCCACCGACTCCCTCGACGTGCGTTGTTTGCTCACCGGGGATGTGGGTGGAAGAAGAGGAGAGGTGGCCAAGCGATGACTTGGTCCAGAGGAATGAAATCCCTCACTTCGGAACTAGCCTCGATTGGAGCTTCACGGCTCCCTGGTTGGGGTCCAAAAGACGATGAACACGTTTGGCTGGATACACTTGCTGATATGGCAAGGAGCCGACCTCAGTGGCGTTCCTGTTGTGAGTTTCTTTGTCCCTCCCCATCCCTTTAGCCTCCCCCTCCATCTACGATCTTATTTCGTAGGGTAAAACGTAATTAAATTGTTGTTTTTTGCCTAGTAGCCGGCTGGTAGCTTACCGGAACGATGCCTATCCGTTGCTGGTAGCTCAGCTGGCATGCAACTGTCGTATTTATTTTTCCTTTATGTATTGTATGTATGTATGTATTCCCTTTATGTATTGCGGTACAATAGCGGAGGTGTTTTACCACCTCTAGCTGACATGTATAATGATGATGATGATGATGTACACAAGGTGCTGCCCTTTTGTACACATGCAACGATAATTCAAATGGGTACACTGTCCCCGTTAGCGTCAGTTTCGTTACCTAATATGTAGATAAAAACAAAAGCAAACTCGAGTCAGTTAAACAATACAATCACTCGAGATAGCTTGCAAGAAGCAAGGGGCGTACCGATGGAGAGGAGACCGTTAGCAATGGTTCGCATAAAGTGGTTCAGCACGCCATCTCCAAGGGAACCAACAAACGCGACGTGATCGTTCAGTAAATACTCCAGTAGTAGGTAGAATGATTGGGCGACACGGGGGTAGTCCTAAATGCATAAGGAAAACGGTAGATGACGACAATGCGGAGGCGATCGCGGTGACACAGTGCATACACAAGGATGTAGAGAAATGGATTCAATGGAGGAATTTTCCGTGCCGAATGGAATTTAGTCAGAACAGTAGATGAAATGCGTAAGCGCAGCAATCACACGACTTTCAGTGTTAATTACCGGTAGAAATATGTCTGAGAAACGCAGACACCTGGTTTCTATAAAGAAGTGCTTTTACTCAGCACGTAGTGTGTGTTGTGCGAACAGAACTAAAAAGTAGTCAAACTTTGCAGTAGACTGTGGTGGGAACACCGAGTGAGGAAAGTTGATATCCACCAGAAAATATTCGACGACAGGCGTAGCACCGACTGGCCAGCTAAGCAGTCCAAGTAGCTGGCTTATAATTTTGCCTCGGTGCATACAACTGCGTAGTATTCCTTACTCGCGAGCAACTGCTGGTGTTCACGTGGAGACATGCTGTTATCTCACCTTTTGTGCCTACCAGTTGCACACCGGACTTCCTGCATCTGCTGCTCGGTGATATCCAGCAGCAGCACACCTGTCTACCGCCCACTTCGGTGTATTGCTTCCCGACACTGGGTTTGATGGTGTAGAGATAATAGCGGGTGGACAGCTGATGACACATGGCGACATATATGAGGAGACTGACCGCCCAACCTAGTCAAGCTAGCACAGACCGTCTTTCTCAATGGAAGTCATGTGACAAGCTCCATTTTCGCCTAGAGACTCTATGTGACCTGGTCAGGTTTCGAAGTCAGTGGCGCTGTTGCATTCTTTCGATAAATTTTTACAAAGAACGTCCGTCACAACTAAACTCGGTTAGATAACCACTACACGTGGGTGGTTGTTCCGTTCTAGCCGGATGTGCAACGGTTGACCGATTTGGTGTATACGTGGCGATGAAATTAACCAAAGTTCTTTCTCAAACTAGTCTTTAAAAAGTATGTCGCTTGTTTTTAGACTTTCTATTCCAATGAAGTTGCATTTGCCGGTTCGTTCACGCCTCTGGGTGCTAGTCGCTTTGCTTCTCACTGCTTCAGTGATGAGATGACACCCACACAGCTCATAGTTCCTGAAAGGATGGAACAGACGTCCGGTGACTGAGCTAAGATATGATGAATTTTGACTTGCACCATCCGAATCCCCTAAATGACATATAAGTTGGTCGGCTATCTTTAGCCTCTGAATTATTCTTATGCGCAATCCGATAGAACATTTCATTCTGTTGTGCTCATTCGATGTGGGATGCGATGCGCTTGATCAGTGACGCTTAATACCGGTTGATACAGTCTCCCTCAACACATATCGGATGACATGACTCATGGCCGCTAACAAATGATTCTTCTGGTTGGAATAAAGCGAATTAGAGATAATGTCATTGTTATGTAAAGCAAGCGCAAACCACCCTTCAGCCTATAAATGTCCAGTATGCTGTACTGGCTGAGCTGAAAAGGGTGTTGGATGAGAAAAAGATATCGGCAAAACGGAGGTCACCAAGTCACCTGTCTTTCTAACGATTGCATCAATCCAGTGAGCTCAATGAGGCCGGTTGTTACGCTGTTCAGTAAAACACATACGCGCATGATCATAACGTCTCCACGATGTATCAACCGAAGCTATAAAGTCCAGTGGTATGGCATTGTTTGGTCTACAAACCTCAGGTGAAAAAAGCAGGTACGAAACGACGGTAGACTATCGATCACTTACCTGTAGTTCCGAATCGTTCAGAGACAGCATCAACTGCACACCCATTTCGACCGCTTTCTCCAGAGAATCATCACGATAAAGGCTGAACACTCCAAAATTGATGAAGCCACCGCTTAAACAAACTTTAAGCGCATCAAGGGCAGCAATTATTGGCTTCAATTTGAGCTGATAAAGTGACTGTTTTGGTACCTCACGAGTGTTAGGGATGATCTGTACACCTGAACAATGTGTGATGGAAAGTGGAGAAGCGTCTGCTCCCAGAAATCGGAAAGCTTCGCGACAAGTAGGATAAAGAAAGGATACATGCTTGGGAATATTTACCTGATGGAAAGCTTGCTTTGGCTGAATGTGAGAAATTGCTCAGTCTCCCACCGATCTACAAGAGCCGTTGAGGATCAGTGGTGAGAACCAGTAGACACACTAGTTCCGAATTCATGTCTTCCTATTATGGGTCCGAAAGGTGGGCTGTTGAATCATCCAGAGGACGCACATTGTAAGAATCAGTGACAGCTATAGTCGAGGTTGAACGCCTTTGAAAATCAACCTAGAGAGTCACAGCAACTCACAGAAACTAGTAAACCAGATAAGTCTCCCCACATGCTTAGCTTACTTGGGCAACACAGTCAACCTGCAGTCAATGCCAGAAAATAACGAGGTAGGGTGCTTGTACATCGAATGGTTAAACAAAGCGAACTTTCACTTCCGAAAAGAATAGTGGCGTTAATCGCATTTTAAGCTCTATGCGTAGAAAAACCAAGGAATGCGCACCACTGACGAGCCCCAGTAGGACGAAACGCGCCTGGTGCTTTTCCGGGATAAGCTGTGCTATGTAGCTTGTGAACTACTGGGATGAAAATATTAAAATTAGAAATCCTCCTACTCATTAGTAATGAAATCAGTTTTGTCGGAGTAACAATGTGTAATTGCTTCGTTGCTTTTACTTGTGATGAACAGTGATTTGAATGAGCATGTCTAACTTGGGTAGAAAGCAGTGTCTATACCTATCTAAGTATTTTTCCAAAAATGCTTAAGACGAGAAGTTAGGGAGAGTCACCGTGGAAATTTGCAGGCCAGTGTTGTTAGATGATTCCGTGTATCATCACAAGGAATGCCGGCGTCAAGCATATAACGGGTAAATACGCACAGCAGTGTCGGACTGCTTCGGGAAAGCAACCGCGCGAATAAAAAGCAATTCCTCGTATGAATTAATACAAAGTGACTGCAAAAAGGAACGGACAAGGTCTCGTCCCATTGCAACCATGTCCGTGTGTAGGCCCGCGAGAATGCAGAACGTCCCAGCTGGGAGAGGGTGCTAGAACGGCAGTTGGGACATGAAAAGGCCACATTCATAGAGTTAAGGAATCATAACGAGAACTGACCAAATGCAGTGAGAATTCTGCTCAATTCGGTGAACAACAGGTATCCTGTCGGCACCGTGGGGTCAAACAACAGGCGCCCATTTCGATTGTGTACGATTTCAGCCAACAATTTGAGCACCGACACGTTCAGTGTTGGATCAAGTGGCCACAATTCCAGAGCGCGGGCAAACAATTTGAATCCGGTAGGGTAGAGCCAATCCAATAGCATTTGGTATGCGGATTTTGTGTTCAGACTGGACGAAAGTCCCCGCAGGTCTCGGGCCAGCCCGACCAGAGCGTGGTTTATGTAGTTCGGACTCATGCGTGAGGAAGGCACTGTGGAGAAGGAACACATAGAGTGAAACACTGTTGCACAAGCAAAAAAGATGGTAATATGCAGGCAGAGTTGGAGGAAGCAAAACTGCAACAGTGACAGGAAATGCGCACAGATGATTAGGCCGCATATTTGAAAGAGCGGAAAATGTTTAGCGAAACAAACGATGACGATCACTCACCACCGGATAGCACGGCAACAATCAACTGGTTGGCAGCATTCGTCAGTGGAGCCATAAATTTCAGGAATCGGTCCTCGTCCTCTCCGAAATCGACCATCAGCAAACGAGCAAGAGACGCGTAAAAGCTAGTGCGGAGGCGTAAACGAGCTTTGTGACGGACAGATGGGGCAGTCGGCCAGTCAGCGCTAATGGTGAGGAAGGGGAAGTTTTCAGGCTAGAAGAAGTAAAAAGAGGGGATATTGAATACGAAGTAGATGTGAAGTAAAATTTTGTAGGTCTAAACCAACCCCATCCAATACAAGCGATAGGGGCAAAAACATGATTCGACAGAGATTCGCGCAACAACGAGGGAACCATCTGAGAGTGGAGTGTGGACAGTTAATTTCAGCTGGCATGATAAGCAATAGTTCAAACATTGGTGTGCGGTGGATACAGTTCTCATGATCAGCGCTGCTGTAACAACACAAAATGGGTACTTCGAAACTCGACGTAGAACTCGTAACCGCTGCTCCAAACACTGATCGCGCGTCTCTAGTGACCAAACACTACATCCCGGGTTCTGATCTCAGCTCCTGTCCAAACAGGGACGAAAGTGGTGGCAGAGTGTTGTGTTGGGAACGAGTAAGAAAAATCTCTCCGCTTCGAATGCAATCCCAGTCACAACAACCAAGGTATGCATCATCATAATCATTGTACACCTTAGCTAGAGGTGGAAAACACCTCAGATACTGTGCCACAAAATATACAAGAATGGAAAAAGAGAAAAATGCAACAGATGCATACCAGCTGAGCGACTAGTCACGGATGCGCATCGTTTCGGAAAGCTACCAGCCAGCTAGTATGCAGCAAAAAAAGTCAGCATGAAAAATGTATATTATGCTAAGAAATTAGATCGCGGTTGCAGGGAAAAGCTCAGAGGGATGGGGAAGGACAAAGAAACTCACAGTACGAACGCCACAGAGGTCGGCTCCTAGCCAGATCAACAAGTGTATCCAGCCAAACGTGTTCATCGTCTTTCAGACCCTAACCTAGGAGCCGAGACGCTCCAGCCGAGTCCAGCTTCGAAGTGAGAGCCTTCATTCCTCTCGACCAAGTCATCGCTTGACCACTTCTCCTCTTCTTCCCCCCACACCCCCGGCGAGCGAATAACATACTTCTCGGGAGTCGGTGAGCCGGCATGCCTAACACGTGGCCGAGCCATCAGAGCCTGGTGCGTGAAATGATGGTGGCGTAAACAAAGCGTCGAATACGCTCATTGCTCATGCGGTGTTCCCACCAGATGCGAGCCAAACTGCGAAGGCACCGGTGGTCGGACGTAACTAGACTTTATATAACAAAGTTAACAGCCCCCCTTCGCAAGAAAAGTGTATCACATAAACGGTACGATGTGACGCAAAATGGCGGTACCAGTAATGCTCATTCGATTGGTCTATCGGATATGAACGTTGCTTCCCAAGCGCAGGTAGTTGAAGGCAACAAATCGATTAATGATTTAATGGCGACAATGTTATGCGGATGGATGATGGTCTCCGGTTGCTTCTTTCAAGATGGACCTGCCATCACTAACTTTCGAATCAAGTGAGGTCAATGGAGAAAAATATGGACTGTAACAGCGGAGTGCCAAGGGGAGATGCATGAGACCGGTCACATGAGATTCTATGGGTTACAAAACAATCTGTTTTTGAGAGCAAAAGATGAAATACCTGTGACCGCATCAACTTTAGGTGCATTTTCGTAGGTTGCGTCCTATTTATCATATGATACTCATATTTAGACAGGTAGCATAAAACCACTGAGCAATAACTAAGATCACTCGTGGTACTCTGTGTCAACCGAGTCCAGTTGGTAAAATTCATTCCACAATACTGATATCTTCCAAACCTCTTATGTGGAGGATGTTTAAATTACGTTGCGCTTAACCATAGTGACTGAACTTTAAGGTATAGGTGGCTCTGAAGGCACTATGAAAGTGCCACATTGAGTAGATCAAAGGGTTACGAGGGGTTGCGGTACACAGCACCATGTTAAAGTCCGGTTGCGTCACGATGGGAACAGTGGTGATGAAGGCGAAAGAGTAATGCAAGTCAAGTGAATAGGTTGGAACTAGGCCCTTGCAGCAACCTCCTCGGTAATTGGATCTTCGGAAGTCATGCAGTGACCTAGGTACATATATCCGAGGAATCAAATTCAAGAAAACGCAGTGACAAGGGGTGCGGATTTTGAAACATCGAAGATGTAACGGAACGTCGAGTTTGAAATATACCTTTGTCTGGTTTTTAGAGCAAATGAGAAAAGCAGATGTGGTTTCTTGTTGCTTAGTGAGGGGCGCATGCCAGATAAAAAAGGCAAAAGAAGAAAGAACACTGGTAATGAGCATTGTGCACAAATGATGAAGACGGCAGGGAATAAAAACGTTAAATGCGTTTGCTTACAGTGTGGTTATTCAACAAGAATTGGATATCGTCCAGACGGAGAAGTTTGCGCATCGCTGTATAACCTCTAGAGAGCTCGGAGAGCAGGTTCAACGTCCTGTTCAAAATCGGTTCGTTCAAGCTCCAATACTTCAAATTAGTCACAATCTTGGTGCCGAACACATTGAGAACTACTAGATCATCAGCAGCTCCCAGAACGTCGGACAATTTTTGATACACCTGCAAGTGTGGAATACAGTGCGCAGACAGTTGCGATGAAATCAATTGGGCATGTGAAAATGACAACTGTGTGTGAGTGCGTAGTTCAGACAACAACAGTTTGTATTTTGGAACAATATCTTTGCATTGGATGTAAACGGGAACAATGGATGTTTCTGATAGATAAATAGTTGCCTACGCGAAAGTTGTGTGCGCGCATAGTTGGATACAACCTAACCAGCGCATATAAACTGTGTTCCGTGAACCAGAATTAGGAAAATACGACTGGAGATGGAAAGTGACATACAATTCATGAATTGACGATCTTGGGAATTGGATAGGAATTTAGGACAAAAAATTGCTTCTGGCATTTCGAGCGCCCTTGCACACCAGGCTTTAAAAATACATTTCCTCATCAGCTTTTCACATGCAGGATTTAGTAACAATAATTAAACTCAATTATCATGTGTGAGGGCATCATAAGCTCTCATATAGTCATTTTCAAGAAAGCAGAACTCCTGCTCAGGCGAATGAGAGAGGAATAACGATTGATCTCTGCACACATGGTGCAGGCTATGCAATCACGGTAGCAAAATGTGCGAGAAAGTCGCAAATCGATGAAGATATGTAGAAGCGAGTTCGAATTCTTTAAAATATACGCATGGATGTCAAACATGTACCAACATGAGCAAGTGAACTATTTGGCGGTTGACGTCATTACAAGGACTCAGTAAGAGACCAACAAACGGAGATTAATGGAACTCACTCTGGACATGCGACCGACCGATTCGCCGACATACATACGACGAAACTGTTCGAAAAAGTTGAGGATAGCGATCTCAAGTCGAATAGCTCCGGGAGACTGGTTCAATTGGTCTGAAGTGCTGATGGCGACTGAGCTGTCGCCTTGCATTCCAGGTCCGGAGGGGAAACTAAGGCGACTGGTGGTCAGCCGGACCAGTTGTATGACGCGACACACCAGCTCCCCGTCATAATCGTCCTCAGTGCTCGCGTAACTCACTCGACTGCTGATAAGAGCCCCTGAAGCATAGACGAGAGGAGCACAGCGAAAAAGAAAGTTATGGGAAAGGTAGGGTGATGAAAATCGACAATCCACAGATCTCATTGGAACTTGGCATGCCTGATACGAGGGCTGGCGTATTGCTATGGTCTGGCTGCTAAAGACACTACTCCAGGTTGTGCGATTCAGATGCTTATTTAAGCGCTAGTAAGCCAACATGCACAATACTTATTAGCGGCGTATCGCGGTTATCAAGCTGCCACAAACGAGGAATGGAGGGTAGAACTTGAGTCGTTCGACTAGAGTAAATGGCTGTTAACGATTCGCGTCAATTCCATCGAGACGAAAGTGGACTTACATGTGGTGCAATAATCTACATGCTTCAGCGATCCATTGGGTTATGCTGCGTATTGCTTTATGCATCTATAGAATCAATCACACCAGATTGGTCAACATTTAGAAGAGAAACTCAGTCTCCCGGTTGGCGGTTAAAGTGAGCGTGGTGGGTCCTTATTTCTTGAAACGGACTCCCTGTAGAACAGTTAAATTCCTGCAGCTTTCGGTAAGGCTTTGGAACCAATAACCTGGGTTGAGGACCTTAAGTGGTCTCGTGCACAGACCTGGGCAACTTGACAGTATTCCACCCATGCAGTGAAATTCTATACGAATATTTAAAGCATTGAGTTCCCTTTATCATTCTAAATAAGACAATAAGAAGACTGGTGTTGCGAGATGGTATCATTTCGTGTTATCTGTTCACTCGCAAACTAACAACAGATAGATGAATCACGTGACAGAAAAAAATCGAAGATTTGAAACTGGTCACAAGGGAAAAATTACGTAGACACAACAATGACAGATTAGCATCCTGATCTTAGGGTCATGAGCCCCAAGGAAGCTTCTATACGAATAATTTCTTTATGCTCTAGCCGTCACAAAGGGTAATAGACGGAGCCCTATCTGCTGTCATCATATTCGTCAAAATTGCGTTCCTTCATCCTTAACATCTCATTCCGGCTTCACTTATATCTCTCAGTCTCCACCCCACTCCCAATTATTGGCCTTCAACCAAGTTGTTTCGACACACACGCCATCGCAGAGCATCACTCTTGTGCTGTCGACAAGCCCATGTCCAACCGTAGTTCATTCTTTCCTACTTGGAGCCTTAATGAGTGCACTTTATTACAAAGCGGTCAACAGATAGCATTTGCCCGAACACTAGAGACCCTGTCAAACGATATTTAAAGTTTATCGAAAACCCAGCTGTAAAATTTTGCTGTGCTCACGTGCCACTTTCTCACTGCGTATATCTGGTGATACACCATGGAATGATGGTCAAGTCGGTGTGGGTATTGCCCTGAGTCCTTGGGCTGAAGCTGTTTCGGTTGATTGGTTCCCAATCAGTAGCCGGATGTGTGTCATCCGACTGGATTGCTCGCTGGCTCAAAGTATCGAAGTCGAGAGGGGACAAAACGTGCCTGTTTGTCATTGCGGCCTAAGCGCCCACAAACTAGCGCTGACTGACTGAAAGACGAATTCTTTCGCCAAAAGTACGATGTCCTTCGTTAAAGAATAAGCACGGATACGGTAGTGCTGGCTGGCAATCTGAACGCTCAAGCCGGAAAACTCCACTGATCAGCTGCATCTGGACGACCAACACGGTGTAGGCTATCGTAATGATAACGGTGAGTGTGAATGTGAAGGTGCTCGTCTATTTTTCGCGAGCACTAACTTCCAATACGGCACAGGCGTGGACTTTGGCCATGTTCTTGTGTGTGCCCATCTGGCATGCTCACTGAACGCAGTTGGGAGTAACTGGTCGCACATCCGCTAGACGTTATTAGCAGCAGTAGTATTTTTAGATGACAAATCTGATTGTAAACATGGACAATGGGTCACTACGCAGTCCCTGGAACTCATGGATGCTCATTAACATATTCCGGCTGTGAGCGAACATAATGAGATCCGGAAAGATCTCAAAGCGAAACGGTGTGCTAGCCTGAAGAGAGACCACAAATTCTAGTGGTCTCACCGTGCAACAGAGATGAAAATGGCCGCTCGCGTTGATAACCCTAGTAAGTTATTCCGTCTGATACGTAAAATGGGCAGCAGGGAAGTGTGTTAGCGAGACTAATTGCGACAAGAGTGGAAAACGGATCCACAGCTTGGTAAAATGCCTGGAAGGTTAGACGTAACATTTTGAAAAGCAGTTTAATCAGCCAGTTACTAGCCATCTTATCGGATAGTGATCGCCCTTTTCTATGGGATGTCTGTTTGGATCCGCCCTCACGCGCATAAGTCAAACATGAGACCAGCCTATTGAAGCTGCATACGGCCAGAGGAGCAGATAGGCAATTTCCATCCCTCTTCAATTTCGGTGGACCAGCTCTTGTGGATGGTTTGCACGATTTATTAGCGAAACTTCGGGAAAAGGAAACTGTCTCTACCGACTGGAGCTGCTCAGTTACAGTCCTGATCCTGGAGGGAGGTTTATGTCCTGAATGCGGCAATCATAGACGAATTAGTTTGATTTCAAATGTCTCTAAGCTACTTGTCTCGGTCGCGTGAAAGCCAGATTCGTAAGGAGCAAACCAAGACCCGTCGAAATTGAGAGTGGATTTAGCACATCTTCAATTTGCGCCATTTACTGGAGCACAGTCACACATATTTGCGATCCACCCTGGTCTAGTGGCAAGAACTTTGAATCGTCCGTGACCTTTTCACTGAACATCACACATACTGTGTCTGCTGCGGATATATAAACTTAGCGAGAATATTTGGACAACCTTTTGGTATAAACTACTTCCATTGTCACCAAGATCTTCGTACTCTCGATAGTTTAAATACTAGTTCGAGATACCACGTATGATTCGCAATTTGGCCACAAGATTTTAGACCAGTTAAGACCAATTACGAGGAGGTCTTTTTAAAACTCTAATCTGTCGGCTGAAAACAAATCCCGAGGATTATGCCCATCAATGTGTGTTTCTTGCACAATAATGTTGGTTTTTTTACTCGAATGACACCAATGCACCATTCGCCGATGCTGTCCTTTTACTTCACTCTCAGCTGATAATCTGAAGTGCCAAAAATGCGTCCATCTGGATACATAAAGCTTACTCTGACTAGATTTGGGTCGTATTCCTTAAGATGAAAGGTGCCTTCGGTTCTGTAGATTGATGTTCTCTTTAAGACTGTCTGTTCAGAGAAAGTGTGTTAAAGTAACATGCATTACACGCGTAGTTCAGGCAGTGTGAGAGCTTGACCTAAGCTAGCAGTCGAAGCCATTCAATATATCCAGCAGCGTGAGACAAGGATGTCCGCCATCACCTTTTCTTTTTAACTTCGCCATTGACGAAGTTGTAGAAACTGTTCACCGGACACGAGTTAGGTGTGGAGCTGCCCCAAGATGATCGATGTCGACGATATCGCACTGATCTGTGACAGCTCACAAACCTGTCAAGTCGCACTGGATAAATTAGCACTGGCTGTCAGCCGTTGCGCGCTTTGCTTTGAAGCCTCGAGATACATAGCTTTCTTCCAAAATTGGCATGGAACACCACCAGTACTGACTCATGGTTGAGATCAACTAAATCGTTCAAAAATTCAACAATATCAGCGCCTGTGAAATAAAGGATGAGACCACAAATTGTACAGCAAAAACTGGGAAAGGAGAGTGTTTTCATTTGTGGCGCTAGTGCGACATCGTTCTCGCCCTAAAGGGTAGAGTCTACAATGCCGCCACCCGTGCAACCCTACTGTAAGGTTGTGAAACCTGGCCCATTAGATCGATATATATAAAGAGACTACTTTTGTTCGACCAACGGTGTGTTCGCAGCCTAGCTCATATCTGGTGGGATTACCGCGTGAGCATTGTGTGTGTTCGGCTCCTTGTATTTGATGCATGAAAAGCAAATGAACCGCTCAGAACCGTTATTTCACGCACCAGGCTCCGATATCTGGTCCACTTGTTGCGCATGCTAGCCCACCGAGTCCCGCGACGTGCGTCGTTTGCGTTTCAGGGTGTGGATGGAAAAAGAGGGATAGAGGCCAACCGATTGCTTGGTCAATTTGGCCCCCATTGCAGCTTTGTGACTTTCCAGTTGGGATCCGAAAGACGATGAACACATTTGGGATTAGATTCGCTTGTAGATATGACGAAGAGCCGATCTCGATGGCGTGTCTTTGTCCCTCCCCATTCCGTTTAGCCTCCCCCTTCAACCACAGTCTCACTGTTGATGCATAGTGATAAAAAGCGTAATGACACTTGTTTATATCTTGTACTATTTGTTATTTGGTTTTCCTCCCTCCAATATCTTACTGCATTTTATTGAGGTGCAATAGGTAATTCTCACCTCCATCCGACGCGCTTTATCATTGAACGCGTAATAAGTGTGCGGTTCGTAGGGTACTCACGCGATCTGTTTGCCTACCAGCACGTTGTAGCGACCAAAACACGAGAATGGGTGTTAAACGGATCTGAGCTAACAGAGTGGCAAAACGGCTTAAGTTAGATAACTCGGCTTTTGTTCTTTTAGATATTAGGCACAATCACTGACATCAGGCGTGCTGCAAAGGAAATTCAGTACTGCGTAGGTCAATGTGCTGACACAAGTAAAGTTCGAAGATGCATGGACGTTGTCGCAGCCGACAACAATTCGCATCAGTAGCCTCAATATCATTGCTTTTTGTGGTCATAAGCAACCAAGTCGTAGGTTCGATGGTATCGAAACAGCTGGCCTACATGGTGAAATATTGCGCCCGTCCAGCAGCAATGTGATGAGTAACACACTTGCTCACGTCTCTAAAGAGGAGTCAAAGGGTTATGAAAGCACACGCTTACGCTTTTCAACAACAGTGCGGAACTTTCTGGGTGCTTGAACATTCGGGATGACAAATGAAGTTATGCTGGCTTGGTGCTTTTATATGCAAGGGTTAGGTTTAGGTATGGAATCAGAAAGAGTAGTTGTAATGCTACTAATAAGTTCACTCTCACAAACCAAATTACGATCGCCCCGGGTGGAGAGCGGAGCTAAGGGGGAAATGCGGATAGCAGTCGGAGAAGGGAATTGCAGGAGCGACCCACTTACCAACCATGTAAACAAGCCAAGCAAGGCGATGTTCATCCAATCGAATAACCTGCAACAAACTGGAGTCCAATGTCCCGCTTTGGCTTGCCATACTTAATGCCTTCTCGTAGCTTCCCGCAGTCTCGTCGAACAGTCGAATCAGTAGTGCACACGTTTTCTCAAAGTTGCATCGCCCAATGACTGAAAACTGGTAATAGAAGGAACAAGAGTAGTCCCGAATTAGGCAGCCGTAATAAAGCTCGACTAGTGCAAAAATTCTAATCATGCATTTGAATGGAAAATCATCATACAATCAGCAAATTGGTGAAATGATTTCCAAGGGCGTCAAAGGGGTAGTAAGTCAAAGTGCCCAAAAATAAACTCCAGGAAATGGCCTTGAGGAGTGTAACTGACGCATACAACACAATTTAAGGTAATTCAATCGCATCTAACAGTGATAAGTGAGAACACCGCTCAGTGAATGTTCACTTCCATACAACGGCTGTCTGATATAATAGTGAGAGTGATTAACTACGAGCTTGAGATTGTGAAAGTAATGTTCTCGGTGAGCCACAGAACAGAAGAACACGGTGCATGAGCGGACTATCACGCATAACAGTCGGTAAAGATATCCATCAGCCGTGGAAAAGCCTTGTGAGTTGGAATTGCCTGTGTGCTCTGAAAGCGGTGGGTCTAGTGAACTGTGACGATGCGCTTCGCGATATTAGATGCAACGATAGGTAAATCAAGATAGTGATACATAGGAAAGTATGCAGAAGTGATTCAATAGCAAGATATGCCTGGATGACTTGTAGGATCATGAAGTTTGCAAACAAGTAACCGAACTGTGATGGTCGACATGCTCGTGGTTTCGACACCCATCATAAGCGAATTCAACCCAGTCACTTATGTATTACAAACCGGAAGCTTGAACCAAGCCGCCACTGGTTGTAAACATCAGATAATAAATCACATGATTCGTGCTCCAGGCTAAAAACCATTCACAACACATCGCGGAGATAATATCTTACGTAGAAGCCATATTCAGGCGCTGATATGGTGATTGCTATATGTGAAAATCCACAACGCAAAAAGGCGCTACAATTTATACGCCCTGAAGCCAAAATTGGCCAAGTAGATTGCCCAACGACCCAACTTTAATCAAATATCATAACCATAGCCGAACGAAAACGTGGCAATGAGCCATTGTTTCTAATCGTAAGACCACAAAAAGCGCACCAGCTGTTCTCAAATACGCTAGTATTGTTTCACAAACTGACTGGTTTCATAGATGAATCAACACAAACGATAAGGCTGAGTGATGTAAAATGATGCTACTAGCGTGGAGATGAATGGCGTAGTAATGCATGGTCCTGTGACTGGCCGTGATTGAACGACGAAAGTTTCCAGGCAATCGTTGTTGAGAAGCGGTGTGGTCGCTAAAACAGCAGAGCTATGGAAGTAATCGACAGGATGGAACTAGTGGCTAGTTAAGCTTCACAGGGATAAGGCTCTGGTGATCGTGTTTAATAGCCGGGTCAATCATCAAGATGCAAAACTTGCAAGGGACGGCCTTGTTCTGTTTGCCAGATGTAGGGTGGCGTAAGTTTTGAGGTGGACAGAAGTGGGCACGGTAACGGGAAATGGAGGCACTGACTACAAACGGTGCTAAAGTATTGAACTAACCCTCTTCCAATTCTGAGTGGCTTCAATTGATCGTAAAGTGCGATGAAGCACCCATAACTGCAGAGGTGCTATAAACTGTGTTTGGTTTATGTTTACTGCTCTTTATTCTTCACAAAGCCCTGCCCAAAGTGCAAAATTCTTTCTCTCGAAATCTCTGTACCAACGTCGTTATTCGCCAAGAGTTCCCTTCGATTTGTGATTGGCCTATCTGCAAAAATCTGAAATTACTATTGTTTTTGGTGCTCATACTTTATATTCTTCCTTATTTTATTGTTGGCCACGACTGAGCTAATCGTTTAAGCTGCGGGCCAGTGGCAGAGTGGTCTGCATGCTTGGCTTTCAATCATGGGGTCACCGGTTCGAATCCGCGTAGGGACGGGCGTCCTCGCGGTATACTCAGCCCACGCGCGACTGGTGGTGGTCGCGCGGCAGCGAAGCGCCGTTGCTGTGTACAGCTGACCATCATTATACTTAACGTTACAGGACATGGCTAGCAGTCGACACCGGTGGCGCGTCCGCTGTCGCCTCCTAGTCGGATTGTCAGCTTAAAGTGTGTTTGGTGCTGAGTTATTTACGGGGTAATGGCCAATTATGACGAGGGGCGGTGAAAACCGTAAGGAAGCTGTCTCGTCGATGTCACCTTATCTTCGCATGATAGCCAGCTATTAGTGATGGCATGATGTTGACACAAGGTGCAGGCGCCTTTATCCTGAATGTTTGCCTAGGGCATTAAGGTTTTCCGGTAAGTTCCCATTCTATTTCTTTTGCTATTCTTTATTCCATAGGTTTTTATTCCTTCCATAGATCATCATAGTTGTATGGCAGCGAAGCATGTTCAAATGGCTAATGTACTGCTGTTGTTGATTATGTATAAGAGTCAAATTTTTGTTCATTTCTCTCAAATTATTACCATGATCACAATATGATGACGAAGTGTGTCAAGGTAACTGGATCCACAGTACCTTAGAACAGGCTACCTAACTGAATACAATGTACGAAAAACTTAAGCGTATTCAACAAAGTGGCTAAGGTTTTCTTGATACCAGACCTTAAATTTGCAAATAAACGATGATAAATTGTTTGAGGAAGGACCGGATCATAAAAGAAAAAAAGGAGCACGGGAGTCGTTTGTCGAAGGTTATCAGTCTATCGATGCGTTTTATTTTCAGTATGACTCAAATTGTGCTCTATATTAGCTTATTATATTCATCCATTCATTTTTATGTCTTTACTGAGCGGTCGATAACGGGTCTTTTCTTTGCGATCGATTGTTTGGAATTAATGAACTAACCCTCTTCCAATTCTGAATGGTTTCAATCGATCGTAAATTGCGATAAAGCACCCACAACTACAGAGATGCTATAAACTGTGTTAGAATTATGTTTATTGCTCTTTAGTATATACAAAACCCTGGCCAGAGTGCGAAAATTCTTTCTCTCGAAATCTCTGTACCACCGTCCTTATTCATCAAGAGTTCCCATGAACTTGTGATTAGCCTATCTGCAAAAGATTGAAATTGTGATTATTTTTTAGCTCCTCACTGTTGGTCACGAGTAGGCTGATCACTTGAGTTGACGAATTACAGCTTGTAAGTTAAAAAAAATTATGTCCATGAATGGCATACTGCCAGTGAGTGAATGGCATATAACAAAAAGTGCCACACCTGAATGATCCGCTTCGTCGCCTACTATGCATGCATAAAACAGCCCCTAAAACATTTGTTAAACAGATGGTGGCTCACTTGCTAATTTGCCACATCGGCACACAGCCCGTTGCAGGATGGAGGTGCGTGTGAAACCTATAGAGGGAATACCCTGCGTGGAATCAAGTCCCCTGAGGACGGTCCCATGGATGATCGTATTATATTACTTGAACTTTTGAGTAAGTCTGCATTTGTTATTGTTCCCAGTTTATTACTATCTCTAATACATTCAAACTGCCAATCACTTCAAAAAGCCATTTGGGATCAATTGTATCAAACGTGAACAATTAGCTATTTTATGCGATCTCACTGTACAAATTGATCAGACCAGTTGGACTGTGCCTCGTAACGTCGAGAAATATGTCAGTTAGTTAAAATTGCTAAGCTAAACTGAATGCGACTGATTTGGAAGCTCCAATTAGATGGTCTGATACGCAACGTAGTGAGCAGCAAGTCAAGCTCCAGGGTGTGGCTACGAAGTCAAATTACCTAAAGGCCGAACATCCGAAGCATTGCACGACCAGCAATCAGGAAAAAATGCGCATTTTTCTTCCACAGTAACGTATATGCGTGTGATCACGGGGTCAAGCGACCGCTGGCCGCGTGGTTCAGGTGAGTCTAGTTTGTAATCCAAAGGCCGCCGAAAGCAGGTGACTCGCAGTATCCACAGCTTGAGTGCGATCGCTGGCGGCAGCCAAATTGTGTCGGCATAATGCACCAGTGTAGTGCTGGTACTACTACTCGGCACGATCAGACACAAGTGAGTTGGGGCGAGTTTGCGTCTTTTTGACCAATATCTGTCTAGTTTGCGCGCCTGATGTGACAAACAAGTGGGCAAAGGTGGCGGCTCCCGAAAACCAGAAGTACTCTGTGGCTACATCAGTCGAACTGAGCACAACTGCAACTATGGCTGCTACAAGTGGGTAACACCATCGACCTCTCCGCAACCGTCGATGTGTTAAAACGGTGTTCTTCAGATCCAGTTTGTTGTGAATAGAGGAATCCAGTATGCCTCACTCAGTGTAATCAAATGGATAAAAATGAAAGAAAAGCAATGCACTGCAACGAAATCCTGGAGAATCGATATTTGTTTAGATTGCTTGTGTATCATGTCACATGTGCGGTAAAAGTCATTCTTCTTTGAATGTTCCACATTAGCGCTAAAGTGGATGAACAACGCGCTAGTGATCAGAATCTCAAAGATCAGTAACCTCCAAACAGGATGGGATACGTGGTGTAGAAATGCATTAGAACGAGGTAACCTCTGAGTGATATCAGAATGCATATAAGGTGTTCAGTAGTATGCATTGTAAACGGGGGAAAGCATACGAACAATACCCATGATTCTCGGTTCATGACAAAGTTAGCTCTTGTATAGCAACATCCATCCTCCCGTCAGCCTTGTCGACTTATAACGGACCGACATGAAATATCATGTGTATGTGTGTGTGTGGGGGGGGGAATGCTAACCCTATGGCATAGCTAGTAAAAAAGAGAATGCAAAAATAGCGGAACACGATGTAATTTCTTTGAGGGTGTTTTATTCTCTAGTTCCGCTTTCCGGTGATCTGATCCAGTCTAACTGTTAGATCTCTCCGAATTACAGGGAAGCATCTGTGATACACAGAAAGATGATCGGTTTCATAAAAGGAATTCAGTCAAGTGGAAGGTATGGAACAGACGGTCTGGGGATACATTAGTCTCAAATCAGAATAGGAAAGATGTCTGACCAAATAAAACAACTGCACAATGAAAGGACCACCTCTAGTATGCGATGTGTAGCAAGCAACGATTGCGCAAAAAAGTTTGATCTACCACTAAGGAGGTCCGCGAAGTATGAGATAAAAGTGTTCCGAAAACTGACTTGCTCCAGTTGCTGCAACAAAGTAGTTTGATCATCCAATAAGCATTCCACTCCATCGGCGTCATCATCGTCCAGCGTAAAGGGACCGTTTCTTTGCGCACCGGATTTAGCCAGCTGGTCTCCACGAGAGAATGATGAGCCCGAAATATCCCAAACATTGTGAGCTGACGCAGTTTTCTTCATCTTCGCAACATCCAACCGAATACGGGGGGAGGAATTTGCGTAGTTCGTTGCAGACGCCAGACACGATTCGATGTACACAGCGGATATTTGAGACGCAGCATCTTCCAACAAACCAGAATCGGCGGATTGAACGTAGGGGAGACTAGCAATCAGGCGCTGCCACAAGGCGAGTAGATAATGCAGACTGTTCGCGTTGGTGGTATCCTGTTGGAAAGACTAAAATAGGGGAATTGAGCTAATCGCAAAGCGAGTAACACACGATAGGAATGTGACGTACAAATTAGATGCCAACTAAGGCGTATGTTTGTGAGCAGTAATCTGAGCCAAGACAACTGGAGTCACAGAGCATCAATACGGATTATGGTTTTGTTGCCGAGCTAAACAACTAAACAACGTATGGGTATCACACACAACAGACGGACTGGCTCGAGAAACATGAAGCGTGAATATCGCCTATGTACGGAGCTGTATGTCAGCTGGCCAGAATAGTAAAGTTAGGTAACACAAAGTGTTCGCAATTCGATACATAGTTTGACAATGTGGACACGAAGCTTAGCCACTGCACGGAAGTACCAACAAATAAAGTGCATGAGCCCTAGAAGTGTAAACAAAGTAAGCTGCAAGCAGTAACTAATATCCCCATTGTCCTCTGCCATAAACGCCATATCTCATTTGTACAGATTTACATCCTGTGAATATTGCCAGATAAGGAGGTTAATGTTGCATACATTATGCTTGTTCACCGCGGTCGGGCTACACCGACTTGCATTTAAACTAGATTTTCGTAGCCTGGATAAAAAGTATTACACTTAATTTGATTTGCTGTCCTGCTTGTATGCTGCATATTCCGTGTCAATTTTAGGTAGTTATTTCCCTTCAAATAATATGGTTTTTTGATGCGCTTGATGTGAATGTTGACAAGATGCCTTCCTGTCGAAAAACCACTATCTTGACTATATTGGGTCCAACAAACAGTTTTTTGTTGCCAAGGAAGAAGGGGTACACAGCCATCGTGACCGTGTTAACCACAACAAGTGGTTCCATCCAGTGTGGAGCGAACTACGGCCCAGCCACCGCCTTGTGTACGTCCGCTACGCATGATTCCAGAATTCGATGGATGGAAATACTACTGCTGTGCATGTTGAAGGAGTGTGGGCCGGCTTCGTTGAAGAAACGTGGCTCCCATCCACATGACTCCCGGACTTATTCCTTCGGGTTTACACTGGATATGGGGTGTGTGGTTGGAGCTGTGGGTGGTGCAGCGCAAGCCACCAATGGTCTCCCTTTACCTGCAGGCGTGCTATGGAGGCTACAGTGACAGAGAAATCCGGAACCGGATGCTAGCAACCATAAAAAGTGTAGGTCAGAAAGCGCGTCATTAAATACACTTTCACTTTTGAGTAAGTTTTGCGAATAAAACTAGGTGTTCTATCTTTTAAATAGAGCCTCAACAATTGGTTAGTAAGAAAGAATAATTAGGGCGGTCGGACGACATTCAAGCCACATTGCGATCAGAGTAATGCAACCCGAATTGCAAGCGCTTCTCTCGATTGCGAGTGTCGCTCACCTGGATCAAAAACAGTGACCCAGTTGTCCTTACATATCCTCACCTACCTTCGCGTAGCGTGTGTGTGAACCTATGCAGATGCGCGACTATCGGACAATAACATTCAAGAGAGCGGGCTCAACCCCCATCTACAGCGGACGAAGGCTGGATAAAGAAAAGGAACGCGCGAACGCCATCTTGCCCAGTCAGACGCTGCACAGTGACATTGGTTGTGGCGAAGGCATCGTTCATTGAAAGATCATCAGCGATAGCACCTGCAATGTTCCCAATGTTTGTACGAGTGTTTGTGGCGCGTATAGGCTTCAGAGTGGAAACGAACGCTGCATGGATGATCATGAACAAGGCCAGAATTCACATTTTTGGTGATCCATGTATCTACCAGCATTTAGAATCATAGCCATTTTGATGTTGGATCCCCAGAGAGGAGGACGCAGGGAATCAGCGATGGTTAGACGGAAAGGCAACAATCCTATATTTCGCCGCAAGGTGGCGGCTTGACCACCACTGGCCAAAAAATACAGAACGTGACTATATCACATTAGCTGGTTCGAGGAGACAAACGAACTGAAAGGGAAGCCCAGATCCCAGAAAACATGTCGTTCGACATTACACCTATAGACTTGATGCCTCCAACACATAAGTGTGAATATCTTGGAACACCGACTGTCTAAGAACGAATATTGGTGCACATGATCCATGGGAACTGGTGAGGACTTGATATTAAACAGGAAAACTTCCCGGAAACGCCACAACTCAGATTGGCAAATGATGACCAAGTTTGACGACATGGAGGAACCTAATTTCCGCTAGTTAACTGAATGCTGGATGGAGGCAGTAAGAGGAGACATCTCTGTGTAGCTGCAGCTACACAGGTCAGGTATACTGACCAATTGTGCTGGTAATCATACGCGATATTTAGTGTTGGCAAAGTGTTTGTCAAGGAGTTTCCTGAATTCCGAACCCGACCTTGCTTCGACTACATGCGGCGGCAAGTTGTTCCACAGATTCACTACTCTCCGTTCAAAGCATTGATTGTGAGCGACTAGCTTCAAATCTGGTACCACATGCTTGTACCAGTGTCTTCGTGTACTGCTTGGTGCGTGCCTATGGAGCAGTGGCCACCACATGGGGTAATCACCAAGACGTAATCTCCGGTTTGTCGTGATGACGTCAACCCGCACTCGACGATAAAACAAGGTGTAAAGTTCTAGCCTCCTGCACCGGTCTTTGTTCGACACACTGCGTTAGCGCGAGTGAGCCTGGTTGTCACACGCTGTACCCGTTCAATCCTTTCTACCTCACCCAAGGTGACAGGACAGCATGTGGGGGAGCCGCACTCTAGAATTGGTCGGATGGTTGGGATGAAGAGGCCAGTAACAATCTCTTCGAATCAAGTGCTGAAGCTGCGCTTGGACACCTAAAGAATATGAAGTCTGTTTTAGTAAAATCTATTGTCCATAGACTTTGGGTCGCAGCTCGAGAGTACACCGAGGTCTTTCATGAAAGCCGTGGGATGCAACGGTTGACCGGCTAAAGTGCAGTTTCGACTGTGTCCAGCCTTACGTAGGCTCACGAATAGTGACTTGACCGGGTCTATCGGAAAGTTGAACACTGTAGGCTACATGGAGAGGCGGTCAAGGGCACGCCGGAGCGGGTCACAGTCACCGGGCTCAGTGTTTACTCTCCACACCTTTAAGTCATTTGCAAACAACGCACAAGACGAGCGGAAAAGCTGAGGCACATCGTTTATATGGATCAAGAACAAAATGGGCTTCAGTACAGTGCCTTAGTGCATCCCGCCGGTCGAGGGATGCCAGTCGGTCACATGGTTGTCCACCTAAACCTACTACTTCCGAATAACGGAAATTTCTGATACATGGTACAGCGAGCCACTAACACCGCACACTCTCAGTATGTGGAGAAACAACTAATGATTCGCCTTGTCAAATGCCTTACGTAAATGGCAACCAACTTTTTCTGGTTCAGCGCACGCAGCCATTCGTGGCTCGTCACCAGCAGGTTGATGTTGCATGAGGGACATTTCACGAAACCACAATGCGAGGGCGTCAAGAGGCTTTTGATGCAGGAACTGGTATCGTTGAGGGATATCCTTATTGCATTTCGATATCCGTTTTAATAATGCCGTAGTTAACTTTCGATGTTGTTTTGGTTCGACATGTGAGTTTTACGAGTTGCTCAACCCCAAACGGATTTGTCACTTACACTACTGCTTTGGGTCATTTATCGCTTTCTTAGTGGTCCGCATTAATCCATTCACTGTTAGAAGTGGAGGAAATTCCATTTTTCACCTTGCGAACGCTACTCAGATGCTTGTACGAGAATTTATTATTCGAAATAAAACCTGCTGATATACAACTTTGCGCAATACAATGGTTATGGTGGATGACATAGGACCTCCAGCTGTTCGAGCCCGGGTCGGTTTTGTGAGCATGAAATGTTGCGTTTCTAGCCACCATGCACTTTCGTGTCCTACTCCGCACAAACGGGACCATGTTGTTCGATTGGATAGCCTTAGGTTTCGATACATCAGCAACCGAGTTGTTAAACTTGTGATGAAACTTTCCCCCAGAATATCTGGTGTACCCTCAGCTAAGAAATTTCAGTTAGTCGCTTCAACTAACAGCTTGTGTAGTACTGTGTTATGGTCCGCGTCGATTAGGTATTGTTCCTGGGATATTCTGCATAGCAGATGTATATGAAGAGCACTACCCGGCGGCATGCACCCAATTGGATCTCTAGCTCCCGGGCGTGTCCGAACACGAGACTGGAGTGATAATATGAAACTGCTAGATGTCCCTCTGAATTCCATGTGCAACAAATTAAGCGAAGCAACTGTGGACTGGACGGAGATCCTGAGAAGGAAGTATCCAACTGTTTAAGGATGATCTGTGGACAGACGCGAAGCCAGTCTTTCGACCAAAGCGGTTAATTCCCCATACATTAGTTTCAATCGTCGACCAAGAACATGACAGATTGCAGTCGGCTGGAGTTATCAAACCGATCAATTACTATTCATGAGCAGCCCCTGTTGTGATCGTCAAGAAGAAAAATAGAAAGATTCGTCTATGTCCAGATTATTTTACTGGCTTGAATGCTTCGTTAGAGGCACACAAGTATCCCCAACTCCTGCCTGGGGAACTTTTTGCACTTTTGAACGATAGGAAATGTTTTACCAAACTGGAATTTTCTGACGCGTATCTTCAGATCAAAAGGTAGGAAGAATCCGGGGAGTTGCCGACGATAAGCACCCAGCGAGGACTACTCCAGTTTACTCGCGTGCCGGTTGGTGTTAAGTCGGCCCCGGTAAATTTTCAGCAGATCATGGATACGATGCCGCAAGGGATATTATATGCCGCAGCATATCTTGACGAAGTCATCATCACTGGATCTAACTCGGAGGAATTGCGCTAGCGAATGGAACATGTGCTTGACAGAATAAGAGTACGCGTTCCGTTTGAGAGTAGACACGTGTGAGTTCTTCGTGACGTCAATTAAGTATCTTGGTTTTTATCACTGATCAAAATGGGCGACGACAGATCCGGCAAACATCAAAGCGACCAAGAGCATGTATTCACCTAAGAACGTGGCAACCTTAAAATATTTTCTTGGTATGGTGAATTACTACAGTGCCTATCCATGCACGAGTTCCGTAGGCCCATTAACCGGTTGTTGATGAAAGATTTTCTTTGGATCTGGACCACTGAATGTTAGAAAGCTTTCGATAAGATCAGGTTGTTGCTGAGTTCAGAGCTGATGCTAACCCAAAGCTACCAATTGTCGTAGCATCGGATGGAACCAGTTAGAGTCGGTGCAGTCATCTCGCAAACTTTTCCAGACGGATCCGAGAAGCCGGTCTCCACGCCGCTTGTTCGTTGACTGTGGCAGAAAAAACTGTAGCCAAATTGAGGAGGCTCTAGGTATTATGCTTGCAGTTAAGCACTTCCACAAAATGCTACATGGCTGTCACTTCACTTTGATAACGGACCACAAACCGTTTAGTGCGATATTCAGCTTCAGAAAAGGAATCCCAATGTGTACAGACAATCGTCTACAACGATGCACCACAACAATACTACAATCCAAAAGCAGTTTCATGCTGGACACCATTAGCTCTGAGAGAATGAAGGCTCTGGCGAGAAGTTACGTATACTGGCCGTTTATGGATTCTCAAATCGAGGAATCAACGCGTTTGTATTCAAAGTGTGCCTTAGTAGCAAAATCATTGCGGAAATGCGAACTGTTCTGTTGGCCGACACCAACCCACGGTCAGGAGTTCACCTTGATTTTGCAGCGTCGATCAAAGGACGGAACTTCTTGCTCATTGTCGACGCATACAGATTTTCCAAATGTCAAACACCTTGACCTCGGCCGCCATCGCCATTCTCAGGAAACTTTTCAGTGGTTTCGATTTCCTGGAAACACTAGTGTCCGACAACGGACCCCAGTTTACTTCTATACACATCGCGTAGTTTTGTGAGCTGCAGTAGATGGAGTAAGTTCGTTTACCTCCGTACCACCCCAGTCAAAGAAGTATGTCGAACTCTTTGTGGACACTTTTCAGAGGGCTCTGCTCAAAACCGAAAGAGAGGGACCAATTCAATAGGTCTTGAAGCATTAGCGAAAGGAGTAGACTGCAATGGCGGACAGTAACGCCAACATATCGGTTCGATGCGATCACAGGCTCTAGGTAAAATAGTATCAGTAGTACTCCGGTACATCGTGTCGATACTTGGCTACCATGAGACCACTACGAGTTACATTAGAGCTGGGATACTACCAGGCTACGCGTAACCATGTAGGCTCGACTGCTGAATCACAAAACATAACAGGCTGTAGTAATGGATCATAGTACGCCACCATAGTACATCACCTTCACAATTAACACAAATCGCGATTAGGGCCACCATTGTTAATGCGAAGCAATGGTATTGCTAAGGTCAACGCTGCACATCGCGACTTGTCCCAGTTTCAGCCGGGCGATTCAATTGAAAATAACTGGACTGGCCATTCGATGGACAAAGTCCTGAGATAAACGTCTGCAATCGGCTTTATAGGCATCCCAGACATCAACTCACTGGTAGTGGTTTCTGGGAAATGTTATGGAAAAAACCCCAAACAAGACTCAGTTAAACAAGGAAATCAAAGCATGCGGGTGATGCTAAGCGAATTGTGATCGGTATCGGAAACAACCGCAGCTGTGATCAGGCCTAAAAAAGTGCATTCCACCCCAACTCACCTTTAAAGTGTGAATGGTAAAAGCCGTCAACAACTGAATGAATTCAGCATAGCAATCAAGGGTGATCAATTCAGTTAGTTGAAAATTGCACTTGAGACGAGACAGAAAGCGACAAAACTCATGGTATGTGTTCTCATTCGCCAAGTTTGAGTGCTGACTGGCGAGTATGTTACGCGTGCCATCGACCAAAGTGGACAACAGAGTGGATCGTTCAGGGTTAGTGAACAAAGAACGGCGGATGCTAGCCAACTGGACAAGACAAGAGAGCACCTGGGAAGGGAAACGCAGGAAAAGGATTAAGGTGAAGCACGCTGGGTGACTGAGGGGAGCAAAGAGGTAGCGCATCGATAAAATGACGCATCATAGAAGAATATCGGAAAAAGATGAATGGTAACCTGCTTTGGTTGGACCGTTGCATTAGAAGAGATAGAAGGATAGAATGCAGACGAAAATATGCGCTTCGGTTAGAAGTCGTGACGTACAACATGCGCTACAATTGCCCGTATGACACTGTATCATTAAGTAGAAATACGCTTAAGGGAAACTAGATGGAAGCGGCTCTAGGCACCAATTCCGTGAACACTTAATGCTGTTCCATATAACATCTGTAAATCGTTAATAGGGTGCATAAAAGTCATCCAGAGTGGTGCCGTTCAGAAGCTCCCAGGTATTGAGCGCGAATGGACCCAACAGACACAGAGAAGTGTTATAGCACGGTATCCTGACCAACGACTCGGTCCGTTGCCTTAAAGATCACCAGCCTGCCTAGTAATCTGACGGCGCGGGTTAGAGCCTGCGTAGGGACCGAGCGACCCTCGCAGTATCCTTAGTTCGCATGAGACCATTGGTAGTTGCGCGGCAGTGAAATGTCGGTGCTGCGTGCTGGGGTACTGCTGATGCCTAGCTTGACGAAGGATTAAAAGATGAAGTCATGAACAACAATCTGGAGTTTGAAAATGAGGTTTCATTCAACGGTTAGCTCTTGCTCACTTATCAAATCCTTAGCATCATAGGTGTGATTCAATATCATTCCGTCGCAACAAGACTAGGCGTTAACGTGGTAAGACGGTTCGTGTTCCATTTCAACCCATTCAGCTATAATGAGTGGTGCCCCCGGACATCTTAAAAGCAACTCCTACCGAGCTTGTTAGACGAAATCAGTCTTCTGGTCCTCCAGCTTAGAGGTCGGAAGTGGTATAGCGCTAATTTCTGTAAAACCGGATAGCTGCCACCTACCTGCTGCTTATCGAACAGGTTTTTGAGCCGAATGTTTGGGTTGAGGACGCTAAGCGTTATCATTTAAGTTAAGGCACCCTGTTAGTATCTCACACCATGTAAACTCATGATTAGTGTATCGAAAGTCAACTACATCCTGTATCGGCCGTCGCGCAGCTTATCAAGGGTTGCTTTATCCGTTGCACATAGCAAGGCAGATAGAAGAAAACATGCTTCACATGAGGCTTCTCTTCTTTCTTCTTCACCTGTCTTTTTTATTCTCCTTCCGTCCCACATTATTAGCCTTCTATAATCCCCAGCTTAAACAATAATGACTGCAAACTACTTCCGTTCTATCATATGCAGCTATGTACCCGCATCATCCACCAGGCTACTATCGACAGCAGCAGTCTTCGGTCAAGTAAGCCTACCAAGATGACCTGGGTACCGAATTCTCAGTATCCCACGTTAAGAAAATCGAACTTCAGTGGGATAAGACCACAGCTGTCACGCACAACGCCAGAACCTCTGCTTGCGACATTATCAATCGTTACCACACCAGCCACTGGATGTCCAGAAAGTTATCGAAATCGTTGGAATGCAGAAAACCCTCAGCTAGCTCTGATCACAATAGGGACAGACGGACTACTAGGTGCGACTGACAGCTGAGCTTGCGTGCTTACAAGAAACCTGATGGATCAGCAGGGCATAAGAAATGGAGGAGGCCGGAGCAGTGGGCAACTATCGTAAATGGTTCCAAATGATCGGCACCAGTGACCCCAGAAAACTGGTATCAGTGCGATAATTAGGAACAGTACGGCAGTCCTAATTCAAAATAAGGAGCGCCGCTTGGCTCGTTGGGCGGAGCCCTTTCGGGATCAATTCAATTGACTCCTTGCTCCTAAACCTTTTCCTGCTCTGGTAGTGCAGACTGAGCCATGCCGAGTTGGCTTAAAGGCTACACCGGAGGGTGAGATCCAAAACGCTTTAACTACCTTGAATCGTGTTTGCGATGTCAGTCCGGATACTCTTGCACCCGCCCTACGTAAGGATAGATAAAACGTCCGCCGCTATTACTGCCTCATCTGCACGAAGAGAACTGGTGAAAGAGACCATCCCGGCTAACTGGAGTGAACCGACTATAGTGGCAATATACAAGGAGGGCAGCTGCGCTGACTGTGCTAACCCCAGGGCTATTAGCCTAAGGACGATAATGACAAAATTACTACCCTCAATTATCGTTCGGGAAGGGCAAGCAGGTTTCCACCCAACAAGTGGCTGTATAGACCATATGTTCATTTTGCGGCAGGTGCTAGAGCAGCGCCACATGTACCACAGACCGACAATAGCTGTGTTCCTAGACTGCGTTCGACTCAGTCGATTGATGTATTCTGTTCGAAATAGTTGCGCGGAAAGATGTTCCCATGATATTTGAACATTTTACTTGCCTTGTACTCGAAAACCACAGGCCGCGTCAGCGTCTATGGTGATTTGTCGGATAGCTTTCCAACAACAAGTGGCGTTCGTTAGGGTTGTCCAATTTCCCCATTTTTGTACAACTGCATCGGGGACCCCATCATGTAGTGTTCCCTTGCGGAGCCCCAAGATGTAGGCGTTGAGGTGCTGCTTGGTGAAAAGATAGTTGATCCTGATTATGCAGAGCATGTTGCCCTGCTTTTCAGTGACGTTAGGGCGGAGCAGTCAACCCTGAGTAGCCTCTGATGTGGTCCCATTTTTGGCATGCGCTTCGCACCTTTAAAGTGCAATGCGCTGTTACGGGATCACCAGCCACTCGATGAACTCTTGATTATTGATGGCGAGGAAATCGAGGTAGTTGATCGCCTAACCTACCTTGACAGCTGGATCAGCAACGATGGACGCAGAGCAACTGAAAGCAGTTCACGTATTACAAAAGCTAGAACTGCTTTTTTGAATTTGCGACATCTGTGGCGACAGAAAGGAGTTTCCCTCGGTCTAAAAATCCGTGTATGCAAGGCCACAGTGAGGGCCGTCCAACTTTAGGGAAGCGAGACTTGACCCCTCCGATCTGAGACGCCCTCAAGTCTTTGATCATCGTTGTCTGCGAAGCATGGCTGGTGTCAGCTGGCACCAGCGTGTCCGCAATAATGATGTGCGTAGGCGAGTACTAGACAGTGATAATCATGCTAGTATTTTAGCACTGAATAAGTTTGCTTGGGCACCTGTTACCTGTGGCCCGTCCCCCTTTACCGAGAATCGCCCTGTTTTGGCCACCAGATGTAGGGTGGGGCAAGGCTCGAGGTGGACAAAATTTGACTTGGCAGCGTGAAATGAAGTCACTGGCGACAAAACTCGGTGCCGTCGGTTCATCTCACCTTCCATGTTGGAGTCCGCGTGATCCGCCTTGTGCTTGGCTCGAAACTTTACAAGACATGGCTCGCAGCTGACATCAGTGGCGCGTCTGCTGCGGTCTCGTGGCCGGAGTGCCTGTTTAAAATGTGCTTGGTGCTGAGTTATTTGCGGGGTAATGGCTGATTATGACGCGGGACAATGAAATCCTAAGGAAGCTGTCTCGCTGACGCCGCCTTAACTTTGCACGATAGCCAACTGTTTGCGACGGTGTTGTTGACAAAGTGTAGGCTCCTTGGTACTGAATGTTTGCGCAGATCATCAGGGTTTTACGCTATGTGTACTTCTCGTTTACTTCGTTCCGCAAATCACCATGGTTGCATGGAAGTGAAGCATCAGTTCACAAAGCTGATGCATTGCTGCTGATGATGATAACGTTGATTCAATGACAACAAAAGATTCGAATTCATCGGTTTCCGAAACGCCATGTCATGTCGTTTCTGGTTATGCTGATGGAGGTGGGATGCTGAAAGTTCAAATTTGCACTATCACATGCAGGTCACAAGAAAAAATTCGGAGGAGTAACGAGTGTGGTTTTTGAAACTGCGGACGCACTAGCAGCACGAGGTGTTTACCGGTAGACTTCGTGTGAGTTGCATATTACCGTGTTTTTATCTGGAAGTTAGATACAAATGAGAAGATTTGTTCTGAGGATGAATCTACTCGACTAAAATTTTGGCCTGATGTTTAGCAAGAGCAATTGAATTACGCTTCCCTCCGTGCGGGAGTAGGAGTCCAGCATGAACACCAAATAAGACACAGGAATAACTGCGCAGGACTTTTCCGAGTTCATTATGTGTACGAAAAAGAAGCGGAAAGAACGATCTGGATCAGAAATGCCCATGTAGCTGATGCACGGTCAACTAGCCAGTTATGGCCTATCACTCCAAGGGGAAATAAAAAATGATTGGGGAATCACATGCAGAAAACCAATTGTCGCGTCGCATAACGCCATGCGAAATGTAGAAAGGAAAATGTAGATAAAAAGGAATAAAAGATGAAACTTTCGAAACCATACCTATATGGACATGCACTGGAATAACAGAAAAGGCAGTTCTACCTTTTGCAAGATAAACTGATGGCAGGCGCTTAGTGTGTCGCAAAGGTTATCCTCAGACATAACTTCGGTGCTCACCCTAGCCAATAAGTGCCTGTAAATCGAGAAAACAAACCACGGGCAGTGGACCCTTACGTAAGTCATAAAAAATGTACTGATTCATTTACACAAGCACCCTACAACTCATAACTATGAAGCGATGCGTCCAATAAGGCCAAATGTGGTGAAATGCTTGCCATCCCTACTGTTTCACTGCAATTCATAGGTCAACAGGTTGAGAGATGATCCCCAATAAGTTGAATGGCCAAGCCTGGGACATTATATACCCAGATGTGAGGAACCAGATTCAAGAGCAGCTTCTGTACTAACAAGCAATACAATGAAAATTTAACCGAGCAACTAGAAGCCGGAAAAATCTCGAATTCATGTACCCTCGATTTAGTGCGGCCCATAAACGAACATAAGTTTGTACATCGAAACGCTAAGAAGTAACCCATGAACATCAATAAGTGAAATAGACAAACAAACCAGTTCGATGTATGGATCCCTCATAGTAGCACAAATCGCAAAACACTCGTTTCGGAACAAACACAAAAAGGCTGGCTTACCAGAGTGGATAATTCGGATGGCAAGTTGTTGTATAGCCGAAAAAACAAACGTATGTTGTCCATCTCAAGGAACACTGATCGCCAACTGGTGGGAATTTGAATCACAACTACATCGTCCAATCCAGTGGAGGATTCATCGCCCATGGTGCTTCCGGTACCCGCTGTAGTGCCGATGAAATCGTACGAAAGGCAGGCGTGAACCAATTGCAAACAATGCGACACGAGGCCATGCTGCCGGACAGAGCGAAGAAAGTAGTAAAAATGGTGCTTACATGCAAACAAAACAGGTAAGCCGATTTAGAGTTCTGTGGGACATTTGGATAACCAAGTTTGTCAGAAAGAGTTAACTGGTCTAATAGCAAAAGCGTGTTTGCCGGACAAAGCAAGCCTATCCTGGTCATGTTCAAGAATCCCAGCTTAGTGTGTTTGCAATTCCTTTGAGTAGACACCAAACTCGTGTGTATGCAGACGTTGTTTCAATAGCAACGCCAAGTAGGAAAGAACAACTGCGTAGCTACTGTGTTGCTTTGTCCGGCCAAGTATCATTTTGTACCAAATACTCAGATAGTGAAAATCGAGAAAAAGACGGAAATTCGGAAATGATAAGATCATCCCAGAGAGGATATAGTCCGTACGATTGGTTCTCGGATCACAGCAATAAAAGATCGCTTTTAAGAAAGGACTGAAAAGTAAATCACTCATGGCAGTATGTAATTTTGGTATATAGCTAGGTCAAAGAGTCTGAACACAAGTTTAATTTTATTATTATCATCGGTAATGGCATTAGGCATCGCCGCACTGGATCGTCCACCAAATTCGAACTGCCTAGGTTAACTAGCAAAGCTTTTTACACGCATAACGACAGTCTAACTAGGTGCGCAGTGCTTGCTGTTACTGCATCTGATTGAGGGAAGACCAATGATTTAACCCGTGAGATGACCACACAGCATGAAGAAAGTGACTGAGAAACTTAATGGGCTCGATACGCGTAGGTTGTCTGGCTCTGAATCTCGATTAGACTTTCCCGTCTTGGAGTAGTCGCGAAAAAAATGGTGCCCTGCATCCAGCCAACTAATTCCAGTTGTTAACCTATCTGTCTAGGAAGTACGTTTCTTTTGAATTATGCATTAACTGTTTAATGTATCCACAATTTCCGAGTTATTTTAACTACCTTGATTACTGGAACGGATAATGATGTCCAGAGCACAGCTGACACCGTAGTATGAAAATCGTAACATACCCGGAAGTAACGCCATCAACGACCGAAATTCAGTAAGCGACAGCCTGGAGGGCAGACTGCTTAAATAAATGCAGAGGTACGAGCAATTGCAACAGAAGTGCCAACGCTTGAAGTACCGCTTATTGATACCATATATGTACTATAAATGCATTCAACCACAATTTATTGCCGTTGTTGCTTCGTGTTATTCTGGCGACGTGAGTCGTGCCAACTGGATCCACTGCACTTCGGTGCCCGCAGCATACTTGTTCAACTTAACTGAACTGACTGATATCACCTTTGGCTGGTGTACTATCCGGTGCATGCATCTGGTTGTCCAGTAGCATGTTCTCCCTAAGCAGGAACACAATTCTCGAAATAGTCAATCAAGACATCCCGTCTGCAGTGCCTCCATTGTGGCCAGTGAATTGCCGGTTGCTGTGACAGCTGCTTTACGCAGCAATGACGCTTATGGATGCGTCGGGAAAGAAGAAGCGAAACAGCTAGGAGAAGAACCGGAACTTAGTATGGCGAGCCAACTGGTGGCGGAAATAGTCCACGAGAGCAGCGATCTAGGATGGTTAACCGAGAAACAAATATTGATTTCTTGAAACACGGGACAGAAACACCAGAAGGTAAGGACATCAAATAAGTTTCTGAGGTGCGCGGAAAAGGAAGCAACTATGGACTTGTTGGAAGGGAAAGAATGCTAGACAGCCGGGTCTCATATGAACCATCCACAATTCCACTGTTTAAAACGATTCAATTGCACTCGGTAATCATAGGCAATCTCACAAGTAGTTACAAACGTTGGACTCAAGGACAGGAACAAAAACAGGTAACGGAGCCACAAAAGTGATATTTAATATATTAGGAGACTGTCAGGGAAACCAACCTGGTCAGGGTTTCGGAAGTCCAGTGACTGAATATTTTTATCCGCCTCATGCAACAGACTCAAGCTGAGGCGAAAGATGGGGAACAGCAACGAGTCGCGGAATGATGCAGACAGCTTCCGTTGTAAAAAGATTATCCGAGTTGTATCGGACTGAAATCAAACAAGTGAACTGAGTAGAAGCATTTGAATCAGCCTGTTGGCTATGTTGATAATCTACTACAAACGTAATGTTTCGTTTTGCAAGATCCAGTTCGAGAGAAAACACCGTAAAAAACAATGTACAAGAAAAACAGTTGAAAAAGCGGCAACCCAAAGTAATGGCGTATATATAAAAGTATGGAGTATTATGTACCAAGGAGTGCACAAATGTGAGTTCCAGGAAGAGATAAGGACGGTTCGGATGGTTTCCCTTGTACTCTCAACACTTACCTCAGTGTTGTGGTTCATCTCGGAAACCAAATTGTTCAACAGTTGCACTCCGATGAGGACTGCACGGGACTGACCAGACTGAAAGACAAGGGGGAAAAAGCGGAAGCAGACACCTGAGTGGTTCAACTGTGACTGGCAAAAGAATAAGCAATAAGGTAGGCTCCAGGGCCCATGTAAATCGGAAAATTAGGTCAAGCAAGTTGGGAACATAATGTTTGTCCGAATAAGGGGAATAGAGGAACATCTACGGTATACTATCACATTGATAATGATATGTCGCAAAAAGTCACGAGAACACAACTATGTCAACGCATATGTGCTTCCGTTAAGTTGACAGTATGGTTGGGCTTGGTGGTTACGGGAATACTTGCATAAGCACTCGGCCTGAACTTGGCCAGTGCAACCGTGAGCCTTGAGAGAGACCTTCGGATACAACCGTAATTAAGAAGTGGTGAGACAGCCCTGTGAAACAGAGTTACACATTCACTACGCAGCAGTTGAAAGGGGTGTGACGGTCACCGAGCCGGAATGGACCCCAAAGTGATTCGTTCAAACTTGTACAGCACTACCCCATAGTATCTATCAACACCTGAACAGTTTGGAAGTATGTTGGCGGCACGAAACATACTGTGATTCGGCGTTGAGTCACCGTCTGTGACGAAAATATAAACCACCTTTCCGCACCAATATATACCACCTAGCGCAAGAAACGCTGTTGATAATCGATAGCTTCCGCAAGTTGATAAGTGACGGCTGTTGAGACGCTGGTCAAAAGATGGAACAGAAGCTAAGAATTTTGCCCACAGAATTGGACTATAGTAACCCAAACGCCAGTTAAGCGAATAAATAAGTCCCAGTGTTGACCATACACTCAGAAACCCGCTTCGGCAACGTATGGCACACATCGTATTTAGTATACGATGAGAAATAGAAATGTTTTAATGAATAGCCAAATGCTCCATTGTTGTTGTTGTTGTTGTTCAGATCTTTGGAGCAAGAAGAATCCAATCTGATTAGGATGACATTAGGAAAGCTAGTAATGGGTTGGTCTAGAAAGTCCGGTTACCCAAGTAGTCACGGTGAGTGATGAGTTGCGAAATGTCCGTAGCACTGCCAGTCAGTTCATCAAGAACATGTAGCAATCATGACATTTATACTCGAAAAATAAAAAAGAAACCAATACGCATGCGGTACCATGACGGAGTAGTTTTAAAGAAACGCACTTCTATAAACTTAGATGAACAGCTCAAAATATCACGAAACCCATCGCTTTCGCCCGTTGAATCAAACCACCCGGCTTTCGTGAGACGGCAGATGAGAGTGACGAGAGCCTGCTGTACGAATTTTTCCAATCCCGCATGGCTAGCAAGGTAGTTCAGAACGTAATCACCTGAAAACAAATCACATTACCAAATGCGATATGTGACTTACGTATCTCTATTCGCGTAGTGAGGGGAATGACTACGTCTCTATTCGACACATACTTCGTCAAAGCAGTTGCAGCTATGAACTGGGAATAGCAAGACTAAACAGAAGCAAAATTACGAAATAGAAATCGGGCATACACTCGACCGCTGTAGTAGAAGTTGACAGATGGACGGACAGTCGGAGCGCTCACTGAGCGCAGAGCATGACTTTTCCGCCTGTGATCGTACTTCGGGATCATTTGTTGTATAAAGCTTTTCGCAAAAATATTCAAACTGATCGAGATCCTATAAACGTGGGAAATACGAGGAATTGTACGAGGATCCATGAAGAACACATACAGCTGGTTATAAGTCCATAATCACAGAAAGGATAAGTGTAAGTGCGTTTAAAGATACATGTGGTGGTGCGAAACAGACACTAAAACGGTGTCCAGAGACTGGATGAGTGAGACCTATACAAAGTGTTACCAAATTAGGAGTATACAGTGAATCAAATGAATTAGCAGTGAAGTGTATTTTGACAATATCGAGGAGTAAAGAACTTGAGCGACGGTAAGTGTCAGACGGAAACAAAGCCGTAGGGCAGGAAACTACTCCCACAAAGCAAAATTCGACAATCACCAGAATCCTATCCATGTTGTCAGCTGAACATATCAATTATGACAATCGGCGCTGCAGGAATCAAATCATAGTCCAATTCGAAGAGAACGTGGATGCTTTATCGGTATAAGCACAGGCGCGAGTGACCAGCAGCATGCGGCTGATGGTATAGGTGCTAGTAGCGAATGACGGACGGCACAGTTTATGAAAAGCGACACCATAGATTGAGGTGTCTGTTTACTGCGATGCTAGTTGCTGTGGTACCACACTAACAACAAATTACAAGTACTGCTATATTATGCAAAAGTCATAAAAGAAGTATAGAGAGAAAATTATATGAAATCAGTGCTAGGTGCTGTTTGTATAGTGATAGGCAATAGTACTATAGAAAAAAAAACTGAATTTTAAGTAGCGTCCAGCCATTCCTAGAACTTGTACTCGCATCCGAACTGAAGAAAAAATCGGTGATTGCACACTCACAACAATGTAAGCAGCGCATAGATATATAGAGCAGCGGCCCCAACGTAGGGTTATCAACAAGATGTAACATCCGGTAGGTTAGTCGCTATTTCGGGTAGAGATACTCGGAACTGAAAGGGGAATTCGAGTACACCGAAATCCAACAACCAAATCATAAGCGCCGCCACAAGCGTTGCTCGGAACTCAGTGACCGAAGCATGAGCATCCAAACACTGAGAGTAACAGGTTCCATTCTAGGCACCGGATCTCAAAACTAGGTCTAAATCCATCATTCGCTGTAACTTCAGGAAGAGGAAAAATAACTGGAAATGTGACAGATGTAGCACACTTGTGTCTACTCAACAGATAACACACAGGAGAATTAACAGATCATTTAAAGAGCTGACTACCCGCGTATAATGTGACACAACCATGGATCACACTAGATTCTACGCGGAACTGAACCGACCCCTGGCTGGTTCAGCGGAGCTGTATGCTATCGGACGTGTCCTCAGGTTATACGGATTGCGGAATGCCTTGCGAAGGCAACTGTAAATAAGTCTCGGCTGTTCGTAGGCGAGATGGATAAGCAGTCGCGGACAACCAACGGCAGCGTCCTAAAGCGTGGGGAATTCTGGGCTGACCGCCTGGTACCTCGTTAAATACCACAAGAGCTCGTAAGACGCTGTGTCAAAGCCAATGTGACTGACTATAGGGCCACTGACTACTCACTTCTGTGACCAGAAGTGAGTACTTAACAGAAGGCGGATGAACAACCTCGATGGCCACCGGCTTCTATGTAGGCGTACGAGCCACCCGGCTGTCAACGGCCTTCGTGTCTGGCGGCGAGTTAGATGGTCCATGGGATCCTGTTCCCTTTGCTGTTTCATTCGGGCTCTTTGGGCGCCCTGAGTAATTTGTTTCTACTGTAAAGCCGTGTTATCCTCACCTAGATAGCCGGCTCCAAACGGTTCACAATAAACCTCAACCGCCTCGCTGCGTTGCGGATTGTCTTTTAGGACATAAGGCTCCGGGTGGGGTCCCCTAAGTCAACTATCTACCTCGGCCTGGGCAACCGGGAATAACCGTACCTACACAACCTATGGATTCATGTCGCAACTATTCTTCGCTCGCTCTCTCCGCTCTCACTCTCTTTACTCTCACTCTCTGGAACTGTTCTCCTTGCCCGAGATGTTGGAGGCCGAACCTACCAAACCACATTTAACCGCACCACCGTTTAACCACTTTATTTCACGTTGGTTTAACTCCGTTTCCGAGTCCACAATACCATGCCGCCTTGCGCGAGTGTTCTCGCCATAAGGATCAGGAGCTCAGGTCCGAGAGTGTGCCAAGTCGTGTTGGCAAGCCATTTCTGAATATTGAATTGTGGGAACAAGTAGAAATTTGAATCTGTACAGCTCCATCGAAATATGATCAGCAATGCTAAAAAAGCAAACTGTGACTTGTCAATACGCTGATCGTCTTTCACGTTAAATCGTTAGGTTGTTAAAAAAGCATGTAACTCACAGTAGATTAGGTTTCAAAGATGTGAGATGCCTGAATAATTGTTCGCGGAATCTAGTATTTGAAAAATGCACATCCAATGATCGTTTGAATAGCTGCAGTGAGTTCGCTTCCACTAAAGGTTCCGGTAAACCATTCCAGACATTTACAACCCGCCGTTTCAAGCACAGGGGACGGAGAACTCGCTTCATAGCTGGAACCACAAGCTTATATTGGAGTCTGCCTGTGATACATGGCGTTCGCAAGTGGACCAGTGGCCTTAGCATGGAGAATTCGCCTACGTGTAGAATCCGGTAGGTCATGATGAGGTCGACATGTAACCGACGGTATGCCAGGGTGAACAGTCTCAGTCTCCCGCACCTGTCTTCGTACGGTAAGTCATGCAAATCGGGGATGAGCCTAGTAGCGACGTGTTGAACCTGTTCAATCTTCTGCGCCTCGCCGCGAGTGATCGAGCAATAGGCGGGCGAGCCGTACTCTAGCATTGGTCTGATGATGGAGAAGAGGCGAGTGGCAACCACTTCAGACCAGATGCAGAAACTACGTCTGAATGCCCAGAGCCTGCGCAGTCTGTTACGATATAGCCTGTTCGTGTCGGCAACGGACTTCAAGTCGCAACGCAAGTGTACTCCTAGGTGTGGGGTGTAGCAGTTGGCCGTTGAGTGTAAGTTCGGTCGTCACCACCCTACCCTAGGTTCATGAATACCGACTTGGATGCGTTGACCGAGAGGCGAACTTCTGCAGATCAAACGGAAAGATGGTTTAGGTCTTGTTGTAATAATCCGCAGTCGTCTGCAAACAGGGTACACAAAGACCGAAGAAGCTGAGGTAGGTCGCTGATATAAAACAGGGACAATGTAGGACGCAGCACCGTGCCTTGTTGTACGCCACTGGTCGATGGATACCAATCGGTCAGATGGCTATCAACTTGTACCCTCCACTTTCGTCCAACAAGGAAGTCCAGGATTCAATGGTGTAGAGATCCAACAACAGATCAGTTACGACAGGCGAGGTGATAGCTGATAAGGATTTGAGAATTAGGGGTGGAGTCCGTCAGGCTCAGCAGACACGGTGCGGTCAAGATTGTCGAGTAGCTCACGCACCTCGTCCACATCACAATCCGGACTGTCGAGTTCGGTAAGGGTGGTGCACGCCGAACTTGGTACAGACACCTGGCCATCTGCAGACACAGAAGCAAAGTGTGCCGCCAATGCGGAATCAGCTCAGTGCTGGAAGTTAGGTACTGTCCGTTCTAGTCCTCTATCACTGGTAGGTTACTTGTCGGCCTCAGGCGCCGCTTCACGTACGCAAAGATTCTTTTTGGGGCGGTTTTTGCTGCGGTTGCAAGCTGCTCTTCGAAAGGCCTGCGCTTGCTGGTTTTCACACCGTTGCAGATATTTCGCTGCTTTTTATACATATCATAGATGTCGTCAGAGCAAGAGATAAGGAATTTCTCCCATAGCTTGCGCCGCTGCCGAGCCAGCTTACCATATTATTTGTCGAAACAATGTGGTTTGACCGGTCCGATTTTGCGACATTTGGGAGGCATAATTTGGTTACACAATGAATTTATTCCACTTTTTATAACTGACCAACAAGCTTCAGCAGATGCAGATTGCGGCAGCAACCAATCCACTTGGCTCGGGACTCGAGTCAGGCCGTCGAAATCCATCTTCCAGCAGTTGCAATCTGGCTGTAGTTTGTGGGGTTGCTGCAGCGGCAGCTCCATGTAGACAATAAGAACTGAATGGTCGCTTGCAGCCAGAGGCTCCAGAAATCGAATGTCATACAAAGGTTGCTCACAACTGGTTAACATTAAGTCTAGGGACGACGGAGTTAAGCGCGGTGTTATGCGCGTCGGTTGGCAGATGTGCTGTGCTGCCCAGTTTCAAGTACCATATTCACGAACTTTGCTTCTACCTCACAATAACCGGTGATAAGTTCAAGTTCAGGCCAGCATATTCGAGGATAAGTGAAATCGCCTGAGTGGAAAATGACCGCGACTCATGTGGCCTCAGAGATGCGGTAGCCAGCCCAAACAACGGCTCAGGGGACTGCGGTAGAATGCACACACGAGCAGCTCTCCGCGCCTGAGAGGAATCGAGCAACACAACTGCTCTTCTTCTACGCTTCGGTGGACGCTCACAAGTCTCCCACATAGAGAAGACCGGATGTAGAGCAAGACGTCAACGTGGGCATTCGACAACCTATCACAGCGGAAGCACGAGTAGCCACTAAGCTCAAACTCCTGGATGAGTACCACATAGTTCAACCACGTCTCTGCGAGTCCCATTACATCTGGCTGCTCGAAAGCAGCGAAACGGCCCAGCACATCGCGCTTGTTCGTAAGACTGCAGACATTGGTAAAGGCTACACGCATGCTGTGGTGAGAAGTACCGGGCGAGCCTGAAATGTGAGCGACCGATTTATTCCAATAAGAGTTCGTGTTATAATCACCCGAAAATTTGCGATACGATTGTTTCTTCCTCACCAGATCGCCGCTTTAGCTCGTGGATGGCACACTTGAGGCGCTCCCAGTTAGCTGGATCGATATCCGGACAAATATGCGCTCTATCCCCTCTCAATCTACGCAGCAGAAACAGTATTAGCTTCAGGCTGGCCGAACTATCTCCTCGTGGTGCCAGCTGGATGATTCGGGTGTACCCCGTTCCAGCAAAGTGTTCGGCGACAATGTTCCACCTCGGTGAGACATTGTATTCCAGCAGGTGTGCTGACTTCATGGGGAGTATTGGGCCCCTGTTTGGTAATCTACCAAACAAAGACGCATGAACTGAACATTCAGTCAACGCCTCCCAATGGGCGCGATTCCCTAAATTCGCCCCGCTGCTCTGCGGGTAGGCTATTTACCCAAAGGCTCGGGGTGAAGTCCCCTAAGTCAACGCTCTACTTCGGCTTGGGCAACCGGGTAGTAGCACGCCCTCTCACAAAAACGTGGACTGTATTACAACTTGCTCAGCTGTTGTTTCTGCTAGTCACTTTAGCGCGACTTCATCACACGCCAATTGTTTGTTTATTAACAATTCTCACTTTCCGTTACCCGATTCATCTGTTCAACAATCTGGCCGCGATTCCGGTTGCGCCGCAGACCAAGGAGTTCAACCTATGGCTCTCCTTTGTCCCCGACCCTCGTTCCGTCTGGCGTGCTTCAATGTTCGGACACTCATGCGGAATGGACAGCAAGCCGGTCTAGCGCGCACCCTAGATTCCCTAGACATTGATGTCTGCTGCCTTTCAGAAACCCGATTGCAAGACCCCAGCACTATGCTTACCAATGTAAGCACCACGAAGCCAGATATCACCTGCGTCTTTCTGGAGATCCAGAGCAGCCTCAGCGGGTCTGGCTGGCGTAGGT